ACCCCCGCTGCTGTTTTGACATCTAATGTTTTTGTTGCATTTGAGTGATCGATGTGCGTTTAGTACACGTTACCTCTTTTCTGCCCTTATAAACCAATAATAGAAACAACGTGCAACACTGGGTTGAACTTCAAAAATCACTTTCAGTTAAGTTTTCAGCATATTGGGTTAAAAACATGAGTGCAAATGCTGTCAGGAATATTCTCATTTGAAAATACTGCTGATTTGGTTAAAAATAAGAGTTCTGAGTCACTCAGTGTGCAGTATTCCCATACTATATGGTGCTGATAGATGTTCAGTTACTGTCTGAAATTGTAAACACTTTCTGTATTTTTGCAGTTAAACCTGTTTTTATACTCAAATGTTGTAAATATAGTGGTAACCAAGGTAAGCCTAACCTAAGAAACCTAAACTGAAGGATAACTCAATTTCGGTTTTGTTTGCAAACATTGAAGGAAACACACAGTGAGGTCTATGTGTGTATATGTATGTAGATGACAGGAATGTCTCTTCACACAGGCCCAAGTGTAGTTATTAGCTAAAAAGGAAGAACAGGTATGAAGAGTGCCTTACTAAAAATTGATTGATAGAATAGCTTTTGTTGGAAGTCTTTTTAAATGCAGACTTATGCTTACCTTTAAAAGATCCAGTAAATTTTAGAACATCTTGTTGGCTTCTATTCCAGCTGATACTGGCCTGTGAGTATATCTGGCATACTGCTGCCAGGCATTTCATGTATTTAATTTCCATGATGATTTTCATACACTTTGGCATTCGCTGAATACACAAAACTTATAGAAAGCTGAATACAAGTAATAAAGCTTATTTTATTTTAAAGGGGAGGGGGGTGCAAGTAGTGTTTACAGAAGACCACACATATCTGATTTGTCTGAATTGTCATCAGTGCTCCTTTTCCTGCCAAAGGAGAGGTATATTTTTAAACTAGAATGTCTTTTTACCATCTTTTGAAATATTCTAAATATGAATATTAATATTTGTACTTGCAGTCCTCAAAAATTGAATATACTGCTAAGTCTTAACTCATTGGGATTTGAAATCTGGCATTGTTATTGTTGTTCCTCTGTGGTTCCGTTCTTTATTAGCACCTTGAGTAAATTCACAGCCCTTAAGCAATTTTATTTACAACCCTTACCACTTAGCTGGGTGCATGTACTGTTAGTTAAGGTGCTTTTCATCTCAGTAGTTTTCTAGTTGCTTACTGATGAGTCTGATCTTTTTTATTTAATTATCCATAAAGAGGTCAGGACTACATTCATAGAGTCCAAACAAAAAAGAAAAATTCACATTGTTTCTGTACTTCACAGTCCAGAGACTGTGAAGACAGAAACCTTTTTAAATGATGATGAGTCATAGGGAACAGCTTCATTTCCAAAAGCATTCTTTTGTACTTCTCCAGTGGGACAAGATAAACTAGGCTATATCTAAGTGACCATTAAAATAATTTGAATTAGAACAGGAAAGAACTTTTGCAGCCTTCCTTATAGATGCACTTACATTTGTGTGTTTTATCAGTAAGTCACTACTAAGTTGGTAAAAAATTTGCTTAGAATAATGCTATAAACCGATACAAATACGTTTATTCAAACTTGCATAACTGAATAGCATATTAATTTAACTTTAGTTAAATTGATTCAGGTTTATTTGTGGAGAAGATTTTACACTATCTAGCAGACATGATATCAAAAGTAATATAAAATCATTGTGGAAAAGTACTATTTCAAAGCACTGTATTAATCGGGGGGGAAAAAATGGGAGAACTGCACATAAACAGCATTAGTGTTGAGTCCTGGAGTTATAGTAAGTGAATAAATGAAAATTCACATTATCACAGTAACAGATAACTTGCCATGTTTCCTCCAAATGGGTTATTGCAGAAAACTTCTCTGTTCCCTTATTAAAGTAAAATTGTAAATTCCCCAATTTGCCATTTTAGCACGCTGCCTCGTTTTCCACCAGTATTTGGCCCAGGGGCTGCATCTCCCTCTCTAACCTTTGTCTGCTTCATCAGCTTAGATTTCAGAGTGTGCCGTGATTGAGTTTGAAATTGATGTCATAGCCTCATAATGGCATTGTTACCTTAGCAATGGTACTATAGAAAGGAAATGTAGAAAAACATAGAAAAGAACGCTTTACCTACTAACTTGAAAAAAACGCATGTGGTGGTGAAGAAAAGGGTATAATTTAAAGGGTATAATTTAAAATCTGAAAGTTGCAGCCTAAATTAATGAATTTAGAGAGAAAATTGAGAAAGGTGATCCAATATGCTAATGTTTAACTGTTGCCAGTATTCAGAAAGAGCAGTCCCTAGCTGGCTGGACACCTCAGTCATGTAATTTGGTAGCACAGGAAAAGGTGATAGTATTTCCACTTAGCTGTAATGTTGGCTCTTGAAGCAGGAGGACTCATTATGTAGGAAAGTATCCTGAACATACGGTTTCTGCAGCAGCAGAACTGCCACGCAGAGACGTGTGGAAGAGGCTTCTGAGAAGGGAATGGGAGGAGGGGTTGGAAGTTTGGCTTGGGTTTTTTTCCCTGCACCAAGGTGCTGTTCTCAGGGGAAAGGGATTCATTAGTTATTGCTAAATTTATCTGAGTTGACAGGTCTTTCAGAAGCCTGCAAAACTCCCAAGACCACTTCACGTATCCACATTGTCCTTTTAGGCTTTTAAGCGAAGACTGCTGCCTGCAAATGTTATCTGCCCTTAAGTCAGATAATGTAGGAGTCCTTCTTTGAGAAACACCAGATTACTTGTTTGTCTGACTTTGCTGACAAGGCAGCTGTTATGTATAGAGATGGCTGGGCCATATGGCTAATGAGGATGCCCTTGAATGTACTTAAAATCACAAGCACAGTGGAGATGTCTTTCTGAGAGTAGTGATTTTATCACACCAGACTTGATCCTAAAGGCTATGCCAGCATTAACAGGTAGTGCAGTAAGAGCAGACCTGTAGATTCATTATGTTGAGGACCCTGTGTGCATACTGTATGTGTTTCAGGGGATTTTGGTTTTGGACTAGCTCCATTCTGGTCCCATGGAGTGCATGCCCATTACCAGTCTTGAGTGTAACTGCTGGCTTGGTTTGATCGGAAAGGAATTTGGTTCACACTCTGAGATCACCCTACGATGTGAACTGAAGTACAGCTGGTCGGGCAGATGGGAGTCTGGCGTGAGACTGATCCAAACTAAAACGTGAGTGCAGACACACACCTTGACTCCATCACTTAGGCAACATGTAAATTGGGAAATTTGGCCTCAACTCCACCTGCAGAATTATTTCCACAAAACAGTGTAAGGATAATTAGTGTGTCTGTACCCCAGAATTCCTCTTCCTAGAGTACTGGCACCTAATTACGTCGTGGGTGGCTGCAGTGACTGTGTTGCTCTGAGTCTAGTGCTTGGAGATTATTTCCCCAGAAGCCTGTGCAGTTCTTTACTCAAAATCCTTTTACTTTTTTTTTTTTTTTTTTTTTTTTTTTTTACAAGGAAAAACACTTTAAATACAGAAAAGCTCAGTAGCGTGTCTGTTTAAAGAATATCTTGACTATTTGTAGGTGCTAAAACCTTGGCGTTTTTTTACAAAAAACTTTTTTTTTTTTTTTTTTTTTTTTTTTTTTTGTACAAGGAACAACACTTTGAATACAGAAAAGCTCAGTAGCGTGTCTGTTTAAAGAATATCTTGACTATTTGTAGGTGCTGTTTTGTTTCCTTTGAAAAGGGCAAAATGCATTTAAAAGGTACCTTCTGTACAATTTGCAAGAACCATTAATGTTGACAGTAAGGTATGCTAGGCTCCTAAAAGAGTAAAACAGTGACGTGGAGATCTTTTTTAAATTGTGTAAAACTCATTAGTTTTCAGGTCTGAACAGAAGTACAGTTCAGGGTGTAGAGTCTGTGTATGAAAAGTATGGAGTATCTTTCATTATTCAGAATTGTTTTCATTTCCTGACTGTTCTTGCTTTTAAAAATATTTTGTATGCCACAGTATGAAAACTGATATTTTACATTCCCATAACAGCGTTTTGCCTTGTGGCCAGTCTTTTCAATTTATTTTTGCAATTGAGGTATCCGCCATTATGATATAGAAAAGGCATTCATTAACTTGCATTTAATTTTCTACCTGAATTTAGGCCACTGAGCATGTGGGACCTGGGGCCTTACAGAGCCCTTTTAGTGTAGTAGTCATTGTTTACTACAAATCCTTTTGTGTGTTAGAAGTACGTTCCTTCAGCTGTATAATTTTATCATACATATTGCCGTGTGCTATTGAAACTATTCTTGGCTTTGAAGCTTCAGCTGCATGAAGGAGTCCTAAATCTCTTTCTTGTAGGCATGGCGGTGGTGGTGGTAGTAGTAGTAGTAGTAATAAGCCAAATAATATGATACCATGAAGACTTCTTAAGTCTTTTCCTCACAGGTGTGGTGGTGGTGGTGGTGGTAATAGTGGTAGTAAGAATAATATGACTCTACTTGCTGGTTTACAGTGGTGCTAAGGCTCTGCAGAAAAAAATCCTGGGGATTTCTTCTGCTCTGATATCTTTGAGGTTTAAAAAAATGTTGTATTCAAGATACTTTTGTAACTTCTAGTTATGTATCCAAATTATTTTTACAAGACTAACTTTAGGTACACAGATGGAGAAATTTAACCAATTTCTCTGTGCTTCCATTTCTCCATCTGTAAATTTGAAATAACTGGTATTCACTTTGAGAAGAACTTTTAAATAAGCCAATAGACTGGACTACCAGAGAGGATGAGTTATTCAGATTATACTTTACATCATGACAGTGCTTGGGGAAATACTGTAGAATATATTTGATGGCAATTAAAGTTAGTACACTTGATCACTGCTCACATGAAATATAGTTTACATCAGTGTCTCAGTAGCTGTTACTAAATGTGCACTTGAGGGCAGGATAAGATGTATTTACTTTGTGGTTTATTATTGTAAGGATTTCTTAATTAAGTTTAATTTCTCACAGGAGGTGCTGAAACAGCTACAAGGAAGTATTGAAGATGAGGCAATGGCATCTTCTGGACAAATTGACTTACTGGAACGACTTAAAGGTAAATCTAGTATTATGTCTAAGTAGGTTCATTTGTTTCTCAGTTGTTTTTTCTTTGGGACAAAATTTTCTAACTCAGCTGCACCTTCTTATCAGTGCTGACTTTGATGGTTAGGCATAGTCTCAATGCCTGTTATTTTTGCTAGGCATTTTAAGACACATTCTCAAAAAAAAATGTTCCTATGCTGCTTTTGTGCTTTTGCTACTGTTGCCCTAGGGCTTCATATTGCTTTTGACACAACTTGGATTTCATTCAGTTCTTCAGAAAAAAATACATTTGTTTAAGTGAATGATGGATTAGTTCCACCAATTTTCTAAACTTGTGTGCATGCCCTGCCCTCTCCATGTCATATTACTGGAACTGTATCCACCATGCTGCAGATTGATGCCCCCGATGCCTACTTTCCTATAGCATCTGCTGGAATGTGCACCATGCCATTATATGGGATATGCAAAGCAAGCCCAGACCACTGACTCCTTGTATACATCCACTATCCCTACCACTGTACCAGAAATATCATCATGGATGTATACATTTAAGGGCCCTGCGGTGAACAGTTGTCATCTTTTATGTGACAGTGAAGCATCTGCAGGATCTCTGAGAAAGAAGCTATTAGGAGGTGGGCAGCAAGAACAATTTATATGACATTTATGCAAAACTCTGCCCGTTTCTTAAGTCCTCTGGGAAAAGAGGCAGGCGGGCTCGTGTGGGGATACTGTTCTGATTGTCAGGATTGCAGTTTGGCCATCTGTTCAGACGACTGGTATTCTCCAAGTGTGCCATTAAGATTAGTTTTGTTCACATTCTGTTCTTCTGTGGAGTCCAGTGCAGAATGTTTCCATCAAAAAATTTTGTTCACAAAATAAGAAATCAATATAGAAATGATCTTTTACATTTGTGCTGCTGAATTTCAACTCTGAAAATGTTTGCTCTTTATTATCCAGAACTGAACTTGGAAAGTACCAACTTCCCTGGAGTGAAATTAAGGCCAAAGGTGTCCGTGCGTTCATATGGGAGCCGGGAAGGGTCCGTGTCAAGCCGTTCAGGAGAGTGCAGCCCTGTTCCCATGGGATCGTTTCCAAGAAGAGGATTTATGAATGGAAGCAGAGAAAGCACTGGTTATTTAGAAGAGCTAGAAAAAGAGAGGTAAATTTCTTCCTTTATTCATCCAGTGTGGATTGACTTCTAGTTTTAATGTGAAGGTTTACTGACCCACCTAGGATTTAACTACCATGCATATAAAATCATAGAATACCAGGTCGGAAGGGACCTCAAGGATCACCTGGTCCAACCTTTCTAGCACAATCTAGACGAGGTGCCCCAGCATCATGTCCAGCTGAGTTTTAAATGTGTTGAGCGTAGCGGAGTCAACCACTTCCCTGGGGAAATTATTCCAATGATTGACTGTTCTCATTGTGAAAAATTTACCTCTCGTGTCCAATCGGAATCTCCCTGGGAGTAACTTGTACCTGTTACCTCTTGTCCTCACCATGTGACTCCTTGTAAAAAGGGAGTCTCCATCTTCTTTGTAGCTCCCTTTAAGTACTGGTACATGGTGATGAGATCCCCTCTAAGCCTCCTTTTCTCAAGGCTGAACAAACCCAGCCCTCTCAGCCTATCCTCATACAGCAGGCTTCCCAGACCCTTGATCATCTTGGTGGCCCTTCTCTGGAGCCCTTCCAGCCTGTCCACATCTTTTTTGTATAACAGGGACCAGAACTGTACACAGTATTCCAGGTGTGGCCTGACAAGCGCCAAGTAGAGTAGGGGATGTTTTCATCGCTGGTATATTTATGTTAACAAGTAAGGAAACCAGGAATCTACACTATATTTAGATGCACACACACACACAAAAAAAAAAAATCTTAAAACACATTATACAGTTTCTACTGCTGCTTCATATGTGCATTTCATTGCTACTGTTTGTTGGCTGAAGGTTATTTTATTTTTATCAGCAGGTTGTCAGCATCTGAAATATATTTAGAGAGAGGGTGCATCCCAAACACCTCTGTATCTCTTCACCACTATTGATAAATGGTGAAACTGTAACAATGTGAGGGTGCAATCTCTTTCTCTTTTTTGCAAATGGTTATAACTACCCTAGCTGGTTGATCAGTTACATACTATTAGCAGATATTGACCTAGTGATTTTGCTCTCTCAGCAAAAATGTCAACTAAACAAAAATACTTACTCTGTCTTCAAGATGATGTTCTCACCTGATGTTCTGTGTTGACAAAATAATGAAATTTCTTTTCTTGGAAGGTAGTGGTATCCATTTAATAGGAAGAACATACTTTCAGGGCATAATACAGTTTAGTAGCACTTTATCAATCACTCACAAAGGAAATGCAAGGGAAGAGACATGCAGCTGTTTCCATTGAAGACATCTTTCTATCTTAAAATGAACCTGAGTGCAATCCCAGATGTTTTCAGAGGCCTGTCTGTAAGGCAGGGTTTCCTAAGATTTGGTCATTGACAGCTACTTAATGGATAGGATATCAAGCTGGGGGCTGCAAAGCCAAATAAATAGCAACACAGTATTTTTATGCCTAGTAGTCATTAACAAGAAAAAAAATCCACTTTGAGAATCGTAATAGAAAAGCTTGGTGGGTAGTAAGCAGTTTGTGGGCAGCCCTTCAGAAACCCCTCTAAAGGGCCTTTCCTGGTGTTCAGTAAAATCTTTGCAGTCCAGAGCTGAAAGGAGTACACTTTTCCTCCAAGGCACTATGTCTAGGTCCCTTTATTTTGGTCCTATCAGTAGAATGAAAGTAACTTCCTGTGGATCTGTATTGAGCCTCTTCTAGCAGCCACTCTATTTTTTCATTTTCTTAGTCAGGATCACTAATCATATTTGTTCTGTCACATAAAACCTAGATTCCTGAGGAGCTGTATAAGAATATTTAGGAATCTGGGAATCTCTTCCCACTTGCTCACACCAGTCTTCAGGAATCTAATGTGTCTGCCGTTTTCCATGTTGACAAAACAGTGTACTTGTTTGTATTCTTCCAGTGCTGTTTTTTTATCCATGTGATACTAACATCTTTTAAGTGTAGTTACGATTCAAGTGAACTCCAGATCACTTGGAACAAGGAGTATTAATTTATAGCAGCTGGAGTTCTTCAGGGTGGCTAGCACATCTGATTTATGGTCTGTGATCCTTTCCCACTCTTGTGGATTCTAAGGTGGTGGTTCTTTGGACGTTTTTCTCAGCGACGAAGACAGCTTAGGTAGTGAACTGGTCTTTGTTCCAAATAAAGCTGAAAAAAAGGGATAAGGTTATTTTCATTTCAGATGAGCTTAGGCAGTGTTACTGTCGCAGCTGATGGGGTAAAGATTTGTGCTGTGGAGATGATCTGTAGAGGCATGGCCAGATCACATCTGGCTTCATTATTAGTGAAGTGATGGATAATCCATCTGCCCTGTTCTTTATGCTGTTTTAGAGGATGTGTAGGGCATTGATGTGGACCCTGGGTAGCCAAATGAATCAGAACTTGGGGCAGGGGATGTTGGACCATGCATCTGAAACTACTACAGTTTCTGAAAGAAAATTAACCACTTATTTTCCTATGCTTTGTGTCTGAACTTGTTTGGCATACTTACTAAGTTTCTGTGTTCCTAAATGTTGCTATAAACATGCGTTATTTGCTAATAGAATTTTTTGGGGCACTTAAGCAGACTTTGAAAGAACTCGGAGAACTTGATAAGCCTCAAAATATTAAAATGATTTAGAAGAAAATAACATTTTTGGAAACCTGCAGCAAGGGAACATTTCCACTCAGTATCTTAACACACTGGAACAGTATGTGCTGCTTATGGGCAACAGTGTTTGGGCAAGGACCAAATAATGTATTAACTGTGTGTGAATTTGGCAAATTTGTGAGGTGTTTATTAATAAACTAATTAACTAGCTGTTTATTAATGTAAACAAGTAAGAAACAAGAAAAAAATGCTAAAATTTGGTTTGTGTTGAAAAAATTATTTAGCTTGGCTAAAAGTGATCTTCTGAGGGGCAGAGAATTAATCAATTGATCCACTTACCAGAATGAAGATGAAAATATCTGCCTGTTTCTCATTTGCTTAGCTTTCCTCTAATTTCAAAGTCAAAAAAAGAAAAGAGAAAAAGGGGGTGTGTGTGTGTGTATGTTTTTAGATTACCAATTCAGAATACACTGTTCATTAAATATCTCCTGTTTTCTCTCTGGCTATTTCCAGGTGTATTTGATAAGACACTGTATCAACAACAAAACTTTTCAGAATACACTGCAGGTTATTTTTTGTGTTGGTTTGCCTTTTGCAATTCAGTAAATTTAATTATCTCACCTTTGTAAATTCTGTAATTTACCAGTAAAGATGGCAATCTTATGATGAATTTTTTATGAAAATACTTGTGTCTTGTTTATTCCTTCTGGTTTATGCCACTCCTTTTTAATTTTCTTCATGTTGATTTTGAGCATTTTCTCTGTCTCATGGCTTCTTTCTCCCCCTACTCTTATCTCCCTTTGGCTGACTGTACAACTTACCTAAGTCTTTACAGCATCTATCAGCAGTGTTTAATTTTCAAATTTTATTTTATCACCTACCAACTGAAGTGAAAGTATTAATTATAATTGTAATTTGCGTAACACAAGTAGCATATACTTTGTTTCCCTTCTGCCTTTTAACTGGGAATAGCATTGGCATAATTATGCAGAAAAGATTTCTGAAAGAAGAAACCAATTTTCTGCATTCATTCAGCTTCATCTATTGTTGGGAGCTTCAAAAATACCACATTAGAGAAGTCTTTCGAAATACCCACCCTTCAGAAAAGCAGTTCAAATTGGAAACTTTTTGTTAACTTATAAAAATAGTGTAAAGTTCCAAAAGCTTGCTTCATTTGCCTTGCTGCGTCCTCTCTGAACTTGAGAGGGAGAACAGAATTTTCTCTGATACTGTGAAAGTCCTTATATAAACAGTTTTGGGGTATGAAAAGATGGAATAACTGCTCTGGGTTTTTCCATCAATTTTCTTCCATGATCAGTGGCAGCTCTTCTACCTTAAATGCTCTCCTAACCTCAAGAAGTTCCAGAAGGCTGAGAAGGAGCTGTATTTCTGGTTGGTGCAGTATCTGGTAGTAACGTTAAGTGCAGGGAGCAGCCTATCAGACACATCTACAGAGACTTGCGGCTTATTTTCAAGGAAATTGAAGCGCAACCTGCTATAGTTGTACCAACCCTTCAGGCTTTGTGCTGAGGGACTTTAAAGACATTGTTAAAACCTGAATTCTCATGGAGCAGTGATACCAAACTAGTAATCTGAAATAAAGCATTACTCAGAAGCAAAAATGACACTATTAAATTAAAGGAGTTGCCCTCAGGTCATGCGTTATGTTGCTTATGGAGCAACACTGATGGTTCCTAAGTTCTTTTCTTGCTTCTAGCATCCGCTGTGCATGTCAAAACAGGTTGAATGACACCGTGTCTCACAAACTGAATACCCTACACTTTACAGGAGGAACCTAATCAGATGTTCACTTAGCTGAAAGTAATCCGTCTGTTTTCTACTACCAGTTCCTTGACATCCAGAGGCAGAATTAGTCAGTCCTTTCACATTTGCAAATCCTCATATGGTAAAAATACTTTTTATAGGGATTGCATTAATTATGCTTTTGCAAATTTGATTTCACAAACTGGACATAACTGGTGCCTGGGCACCCAAGGTGGTAAAAAGGGGAGCTGTGCAGAATGCCTGCGTGCGCAGAGGTCAGGCACCCAGGCTATGTGTTAAGAGGATGGGCAGGTGGGAGGCTTGAAAAAATGACTTGCCTCACAGGCTTTCCCCAAGCACCACCTATTAGCTTTTCCTTCAGCCTGTCTAAAGGACTTAGGGAATTCCTGCCAGCCCCATCCTTATGGCTGAAGAATTACTGCTTTCCTGTAATCCTGCTACAGTTACCTGCAACCAGTTACCTGCAACGGTATAGTTGTTGTTCTTTGTTGCTTTGCTGCTTCTTTTCACTGGTTTTGATTGTAAACCTGTCTGATGTAAAAGCTGCCCACTAAATCACTTAATGTGTAGTCTTGACATTCTTAAAACAGTTTTGTTTCAACCTGTTGAATCAATTCTGGAGATTTATGTCATTCTGTTATGTTTAAAAACATTTAGCACTCTTAGATGTGTGTAGTTTTTCAGTCTCTTGCAGTTGCAGTGAGGGATCCTGTCAATTTTAATTTTTCCATTTGAACACTGGTCAGGTCACTTGCATTGGCAATGGAGTATAAATGTTAAGTCATCAAAACTAATTTGAAACATTTTTAAAGCAGGAACTAACTTGAACAGATCCTTTAAAATACATATTTTTAAATTCTACCTAAAGTTCTCTCATGTAGAATGATTATCTTAATCTCAAATCATGACTGGGATGCGTTATCAAAGTAGTCAGGGGAAATTTGTATTTTTGTTGTATACTGTGGTTTTGTTCCTTAACAACTTAAAGTAATTACCCATGTGTTTGTGTGCTTTATAAAGGTTCATATAGCTCTTACTCAGAAAGACCACGATGTGAGACAGGGATGCAGAAGCTAAGGGGTGGGAAATAATACTGGGCAAATTTGTATGCAGCTTTCTGTCCTCTGGCAAAGTGTTGATTTTTAGCATTGCCGTTAATGTTAATGAGCAATATTAAAATGTCAGAAGGAAGAAGAGTACTCGCAGAAAGCATTTATAAAAAAACTAATAAACTTGTATTTAAAAAACAAAACAAACAAACAAAAAACCAAACAAAAAAACCCAAACAAAACACCAAAAAACCCCGCCAAACCCAAGGGTGGCTTTTCTGTATACTCCTACTAGGCAGATTTTGCCTGAAAATTTGTTTTTGAAAAGTGTTGTAACAATGAATGCTATATAACTATATTGATAAAATTTGCAACTATGTAAATGTAGTTCATGAAGGATTGATAAAATAGTATGTAAAATTTCTAATAGATTTTTTCTTTATAGTCTACATGTATTAATCTTCTTATCTTTCTCATATACTACTCAGTTATGCAGTATGCATATGATACCCATTTAAAATGTTTTAAACAGCTGCAAATGTATCCTGTCTATAACATTTGATGGGAAATACTCTTCTAAAGTATTTTTAATACTCACAGAAATAGCTTGATTTCGTGTGCTTTACCCATAGTTTTGGTGTGGGTGACAAAGTTAGTAAGGAGACACTGCAAAGGTGGATGAGGTAATTTAATTCAGTAATGTGATTCAGGGATGTATATGTGTCTGTTACATCCAGGCCTTTTCTTAAATGTAGTTTGATGCATTGTACAAAGCAATATTGTCTAAAAGAAGCAGGATACAAGTTAGCACGTGACTAATAACTGTTTTTTGCTTTCACAAAATGCATCTTAGCTTTAGATTTCAAAGTGGTTTTGTAGAGAAATGTAGGTGTTTTCCTCCTTTATAGATGTGGACCTGATACACGAGAAGCTGATGACTTGCTTAGCACAGAGGAGTGGATAGGTTGCTTAGCCAGGGCCAGGGAACTGCACCCACCTTCTCAAATGTCTTCTTAGAGCCCTCTTCAAACCTTGTTTCTCATTTAACTTTTTTTTTATGGGTATCAATGCCTATTTCTGTACCTACATGGTAATGAGGTCTTAATAGTGAGACATTTCCCACTTCTATTTTTAATAGATCTCTTTTGCTTGCGGAGCTTGAGAAGGAAGAGAAAGAAAAGGACTGGTATTATGCCCAGCTTCAGAACCTGACTAAAAGGATTGATAGTCTCCCCCTTACTGAAAATGTGAGTACCTTCAGCATGCTTGGTCATGTATCTGGTGCTATGATCTCCATTTAGATGCTGTGTATATTATTTGCATTTTGTGACATTCTCTACTATCATTTTCATTTAAAACATTTTTTATTCACTATGTAAAGCTAACTTAGCCTAAATAATGCATTTTTTGATATATAATTATACACATTAGAATTCATACCTATCAATATATAAATGTCAGTGATAGAGAGGAGCACTGAGAAGTTGTTATGACAAATTAATTACATGTCAGTACGCTACTTCTTTAACTCTATCCCCCAAAGGTCTTTTCTCTCTCTGTTCTGTTATTTAATGGATTCTTTTAGTTTTGAGAGCAGTACTAGCCTAAGAGACAATTTACAGAGGAGCTCTTAATTCATAACAGCAAGTAAAGTGGTGTGATAGCCTATGCAGGTGGTGTTGCTCCAAGCTTTTACCTTGGCATCTCTATTTATAGTCAAGGCACCATTATCTGGGATAATGAAGATGTCTGATATCCCAGATAATACAAGTTTTCCTGTTGTTGGACCTCGGCAGCTTGGATATATTTGCAGTGCATTCCTTCGCACATACAGTGTTGGGAAGACCTGGTTGCCCATCTTTACAGAGTCATACCTGATCAGGAATCAGTCAGCCTCCTGGAACTGGAAATAGACAACGGAAACACTTCTGTGACTGGGGTGAAGCAGCTGAACTTCAGCAAGTCTAACGCGGAGTCATGGCTGAGCTTATCAGAACACCAGAAGCAAGGGGAGAAGGTCTGAGAAGGATCTCAGAGAAGTGCAGCCCATTCCCAAAGGCACTGTCAGCTGTATCTGTGTCACTCTATTGTGGCTTTTAAGGTTGTCTCCCCAGTTTCATAGCTAATCAATTAACTTCGCTGCTCTTATGATTAGAATGTCTTACTTAACATCTACACTACATCTCTTTTGTGGTAATTTATATCCATTGCTACTTACTCAAGCCACAATAGAATGACAGGCCCCATTCTTTTTAGTAGCATTTTAGATATTTGTAGATGATTGTCTCTTTTTGACTCTCTGAATTGACCTTGGTGAAGTCTTCTGGGAGGACTGCTGTTGGAGACTCATTTATTTGCAAATGGAGTAATTTTCCAAAGCCGGTGAAGTGCTTTGCTCCTGCCTTGAAAAATCTGTTGGTTGGAATGTCTTCCCTTAAGCTGTGTTGTTGTTCATGAATTGAACACTTGTGCCTTTTTCACAGGATAGTTAAAAACAGGGTAGACAGCAGTAGTATGAATACCATCACTACGTGCAATAGTTTGATACCTCTGAATATTTTTGAAAATACTGATTCAGATGCATGCATAACAATTTTGTTGGTATGCTGACATACCTTAGTAGTCAGATGTTCCAGGCTTGTAATGATTGATACCGTCTCAATGTTTATGTTATATTTAGTCATTTGACAAAACCTGCAGGTAGTCTGTTAGTTGAACAACATTATGTGTTCTTGTTTTTAATAATGCAATCATATTTTAAGGATCTATTATTGTGTTTTCTTTGTTTATGAAGCTTGCTGTGGAAAAGTAATTGTTCTGCTTTTGTTCAGAGAAATATGTAGTTTACATAAACATTATTTACTAAAATGCCTTCTCTGTACTTCAATTTCAGTTCTCCTTGCAAACAGATATGACCAGAAGGCAGCTGGAGTATGAGGCAAGGCAAATCAGAGCTGCAATGGAAGAACAACTAGGTACTTGTCAGGACATGGAGAAGCGAGCACAGGTATTGTTTGTCTTTCATTATTAGAAGGAATGGAAAAAGTTTTCCTGCATTTTTATTAAATTGTTGGCAGTTGTATCTTTAAACTGTGTGTAAACACAGTGATACCTTAGAGTATTTAGTTAGCCTTTCAAATACAAAAATAAGAATCAGAACATAGGAAATAACTACTCAGCAAAAAGTACCCTCTTCTGCCTGTTTAAAAGAAGGCTTGTGACTAGGCAGAAATAGACAATTTCTTCAAAAGAAAATATTTGTTAATTATTATTTGCTTATAATTAATTACCATTCTAGCTTCAAACAAAAATATATTTGCAACTGCTTTATTTTGCATCTGTCATGCTGGGTTTTGTCATGCTTTTAAGTTTAGAATAAAATCCAGCTACTATTTTTGAGTTTCCTTAACCAGAAACCATGTATTCAAGGAATAATCTTTGAAAGCAGGTATTCAGGTAAAACATAATTCACATACATATCTGGAATTTGTTTGCTCTTACCAGAAGTTGTTTTGTATTCATGATGAGAACATGCACAACTGTATGCAAATCATGTTACACATTTGGAAGTGTAACTCAGCATGTAATTGTGTGGAACCTGTAAATGGAATAATCAGTTGCTTGCTGGTTATAAAAACTATTCCTCCACAGTAGTAGACTGACAATTCAAATTATTTATTACCATTTATTTCCAGAGATGTAAATAACCAGCTTGGTAAAATAATCTGGTTTTGGTTTTGGGGGTTTTTTTGTTTGTTTGTTTGTTTTGTTGTTTGGGGTTTTTTTTATGGTGAAAGACTGGTCTGGTGGTTTAACCAAGACAGTTACAAAAATAAGTCCTTCCAATAAAAATAGTCTCATTAGTCTCGATTTTTCTTGCCAGGTTTACCCAACGCAAAATTTTGCTACATAAGAAACTTCTCTAATTAATTTTGTTTGTAATTAGAAAAGCTGCTTTTGAAATTTAAAGTGAGTAATTTAGTAGGAGTTTTCAGAAAATTCATGTGGTTATAAGTATTTAATGAAACAGATATCCTACAGTTGTCAGGTATGTACATAAAGGCTGCGTAGGGATTTGTCTGTATAGATGTACTCAGACAGACCCAAGTTTAATCTGCCTGGATAATAACTGGCTCTGATCTGGAAGCCGTATGGCTGTATTACCGAGGTTCATCAGCAGTGGTGATGCCCTGCACAAATTCAGCGTGTGTCAGCCAGTCCTGAGTGAACGCAGAGCAGACTCAGGATTGCCTGCAGATGTCTGGTTAGCCGTGTTGAAGAATAAAATGTTAGGGCATTGACACTAGAGCTTCTGGGAAAGTTCTCTTGCTGCTAACAAACTTAAGCTAGATTAAGGTGAAGTAAGCTAAATAGGTAGGGTAGGCTGCCCATGAAATTCTAATTGCACTCAGGCAGAGGATAAATGAATTTTTTCAGAGAAACAATTTGACTGTGGTTATATCACTGTGAAAGTAAGTTGTCCCTAAAGTAGCTTCTTCCTTGCTCGTTCTTTTTTAATTTCATGTGGGGAAAAATGCTACCAAGAAGATGTTGAAATATTTTATGGTTTTCTGAATTAATGTTTGCCCCTGGGTTTATGACAACTGTTTTATTCTCGATATGTATGTATAATACTTACATACTTACAGAAATTACAGTTCCTATTGTGATTATATCAAGATTACAAAATAGGAAGTAACTATGTCTGCATGTGCTTCTTGTGAATTTGACTGGTAATTCCCCTTGGCTTCACTTTACCCAAGGACATGTGCCAAAACTGTGCAGAAGTTCATTGATGTACAAATATATAAAAGCAAATTCTGGATTATTTCACTGTGATGTTTAAATGTGCAAACTGAAGCGTTCATATTTGGCAAGTATAGTGAACTTGCTAGTTTTTCGACTAACTTTCTGCTCTGTATTTTCCTTCCACCCTAACTGATCGTGACACACAGTAAAATGCAAAATGTAGATTGGAGGGAGAGAACAGTTCAGCTATATAAACGCTGGCATTGCCGACATCTCTGTAGTAAGAGTCCCAAAGATATATTCTGTGAGAACTGGTAATGTGCTGTTGCCCCAGTAATGGATGCACTAGCTACCCTTCCCCATGGACCTTAAAATAATGGCCTTCCTCTTTCACGAGCCTCAATCTGTCATGATTGGGCTTTATTTCCTTTAACCTCCTCTTTCTGAAGCAAGTTAGCTCACAGCAACTCACTTTTTATGTTATCTTTTATGAAGATTGTATACAAGCACGTGCCCAACAATTATTCAGAAAGATGCATTAGACAACTGTTAGCAATGTGTTTTAGCTTGTTTAATTATTTACACTAACTTGTACTACACCCTGAAGTTTATAACTTCACATGGGAGTTCTTACTTGAAAAAACAAAAAAGCATACTTATCCATGTTTTATTTTGACTATTCAAATACTGTAGCCTCTATACTTAGTAATAAGTAGAAGCAAACTTAAATTTCTGTAAAATACAAAAATTCCAATTCCAAGACTGAAATCATGTTCACATAGAATTTATTTTTCCTTCATGCTGGAACAAGAAGTATCTAATTTTTTTTAGGTTTAGAGTTACTTAAAATCTCACAAGAAATGCTCAGTCTCCTAACAATTTATCTCAAGATCCTTAAAAGTTTGCTAAAACAGCAGACCATAAAGATATAAGAAAATTTGGATCCTGGAGTCTCGCACAGATGAAGATTTCCAGTGGTCTTATTTGTAAATGTAGACCAACCCATTAAAGTATATTATATTTAAAAAAAAAATATCAACCTTTTTAAAACAAAATAATACTCTTTATTTTTACTTTCTAGAAAGTGACTATTTTGCTATGACTGTGAATATGGAGGAATTTTTTTTTTTTGTTAGAAGTCCTACTGGAGCAGTGGAATCCAAATAATTTGTAAATGTAAATGTTAAGTTACTTTATCCAACAATTTTATGTTAATAAAGGTGATGAGTAAATATAACAATAAATGGGAGTATACTATGAACAAATAGGAATAGAAAGTAATGTTTCTTGTATGGGTTTTAAAGCTAAAACAATTCCTGGTGCTGGTTTGATGTGTGTACCTCTGGTTTTGCATGTTTGCCGTTTGCGTGTACACCTTTGTGGCAAGAAATGCATTCTTTTTTCTGTTTGTACAGTGTTTGGTACAAAATATGCTCCTGGTTAATGGAACTCCTCGATTTCACTGTAATACAAATAATGAATTAGCAGAAAGAAGAATGGTCTGATGTTTAAATCTCTGGACTAAAATTGGGAAGGGTGGATTGAATTTCTGTCCCTTTTCAGGGCTCCATCAGTGATACCGGGCAAATCATGCAATATTTAATTTTTTTTTCACCTGCACAAAATATTTCCCCACGTTTAGGTGTGTATATACAGATACTGAGATTCTTTTGATGTCCTTTATGGAATAAATTGCTGGTTACACAGAAAGAAAATAAATTTTGGGGAAATTCAAGTCATTCTTAAAGACAATGAGAGACATATTCTGTCAGTTATGCATTACTTCACTGATGCAGTTATTTCCAGGAATATATTTTTATTATCTTTCTAATACTTAAGAATTTCTTGATCCAGGAGCAAAGGGGGGATGAATTATCCATTTGCCTCATGTTGTGCTGAAGCTTCTGTGTGTGCAGCTTTCAGATTTTTATTTCCATTTTTTCTAATACTTTGCTTTACAAATTCAAATCAAATTAATAGACGAATGGTCATAGCTTTGCATCTCTACTAAATGTTGATGTTTATGATGCATTCCCCATAGCTGCTTATGATGGGTGTTTCAGGAATTAATTCTATTTTGTGATTATATTTTCTTCTGTATTTCTAAATTTTCTAGATAACAGTGTTTCTATTCCATATGTCTTTTGGCATTAGCACCTTTTAAAAGTTCATGTTACTCCCGTTTTCAGATTATAAAGGTGTTAAATAAGAGTGGTTATAATACTGATCCTTGCAGTGTCCAGTAGATGCAGAAAGCCTTTCCTTTTTTAGTGTAGTATTGTAAATGTTAATCAGATGAAAGAATCAGGATTTTTTTTATTAAGCTATTCATCACACAGAAAAATACTATTTAATCAGTTCGGTATTCTGTTCATATCCTGATACTCTTGGGCTAATTATTTTTTACTTACTTTTAAAGTCAATTAATGTCAATTTATTAAATTATCAAGCTCATACATCGACATACAACCTTATACACGTACTATTTCACAGAATCATAATGCATCCTGTGCTTCACATGACAACTTGTAGAAGTATATGTATCCTGTAATGTTCAGGTTTTTTAACATTCCCTTTACTAACCACAGAATGGTTGCAGTGGGAAATGAGTAGCAATATAGCTGTAAAAGACTCGGATTCAGAGATGTCTATAAAATCCCAGACAAACCAAAGAAGCAGTATGTAGTTTTCTTCGTACCTAGCTTGTTAAATTCTTTGAGATTTGCAGGAGCAAAAAATATTCAGAGGCTGTGAATAAGCAAAACTCCCAAATCGTTATAGTAACTGGATGTAATAGAAGACAGTCAGGATTTCATATCCTCAAGACACTCTGCAAATATAAATCTCTCAAATCTTTGTAAGGCAAGTAGAATTCTAACATGTAAGATGAAGTCAAATAATTTGCTAAAGATCTGCACAAAATGTCAGTTTCAAAAACAGGAAAATTGTGCAAGTTAACTGGGACGTTTTTCTGTACCTGAATGTGTACTGTGTGATGACCTATTATATCCAAATTAGTTTCAGTTTTATTAAAAACCCAGCTATGTTCTGAATGTTTGCAATCATGCCTGTGTTTTATTATGAAGAACTCTTGAATTACCACATGAACAAAGTAGTTTTGTAGTCAGCTGTATTTGCAAGAAACTCTACATATTGTCATTCTATAGAGTAAGTAAACAGAGTTTTTGAACAAAATCAAACATGAAAATGCATTCATTTCAGGCGAGGGTGGCGAGAATTCAACAAATAGAGAAGGACATTCTTCGTATACGACAGCTCCTGCAATCACAAGCCGCTGAAGCAGAGGTTAGTGAGCAATTACTTGCCCTCTTTTGATTATGGTATTTTTTTCCTAAAAAACCCCCAGATTATTTGAATAAATTGGTAGGCAGGATTATTTCTGTCAGCCAGTGATGTCACAGTTAATCAACCAGTCAATGTTACGTAGGCTGTTACTTGTTCTCTTACCAGTGAACTGAAGGTGGAATACTTGGATTAGTCTTCATGCTACTACTGAACTTTAATCAGTAATGTTGTATCAGTTGAAAGTTTAACTTGAAATTTCAGTAAAAATGCCAAAATGCAATGTATTATAAAGGCTGAGTCTCGGTTTTAGCGAATAATTGTAACAATCAGTTGTACATGCCTTTCTAAGTATGAATCACTGATAAGCACCTTCATGGTTTGCTTATCTTTTGAGAAAGATAAGATTAAAAAAAGGGTCAGACTTCAGACTTCAGACTTCAGTACAGAAGCCTGGCATATTTTTAGTGTTAAAGTATTGGGTTCTATGTTAAGAAATACAAGATAACGTTTCCTGTAAATTGCAAAGTCCATAGTAGTAATTGCCGTTAGCAAAAACTGCTCTTATAGTGGAAATTCACTTACAAGGTCAGCTACATTCCTTGTACTGGTAAATTAAATATAAATTGAACGTTGGACTGAAAATTTTATGGTTTGTCTTCACCCAAAATAACTATTGTGGAGCTCAGAGCAGGATTTGGATTACTAAGGCATGTATATTTCTCCATTTTGAAAAAAAATGGTTTCATAATTCCAGGGTTTTGGGGAAAATCTGGTTTTATAAGCGAAGCAGGCAGTGTTGTGTATAATTAAAGTTGCCTGGCCTTCTGACACAGTAGCCAATCCAGGTGTTTATACACATTGATGAGATCCCTCTGAGCCTTCTCTTCTCCAGGCTGAACAGTCTCAGCCTCTCTGCGTATGAGAGATGCTCCAGTCCCTTAAGCACTGTTGTGGCCCTGCGCAGCGCTTGCTCCAGTAAGTCCGTATCTTTATTGTACTGGAGGGGCTGGAACGGGACACAGTATTCTATATGCAGCCTCACCAGCTGAGTAGAGAGGAAGTATCACCTCCCTTGACCTGCTGGCAACACACTTCTTAATGCAGCCCAGGATACTGTTGGACTTTCTGCCACAAGGGTCTACTGCTAGCATGTTCAACTTGTCCACAAGGGCCTCCACGTCCTGTTCTACCAAGCTGCTTTCCAGCTGGGCGGCCCCCAAGCATGTACTGGTGCCTGGGGTTGTTGCCCCCCAGGTGCAGCACTTTGCACTTCCCCTTGTTGAACTGCATGAGGTTCTCATCAGCCCATTTCTCCAGCCTGTCCAGGTCCCTCTGAAAGGTGGGTGAACCATCTAGTATATCAGCTTCTCCCCTCAGTTTTCTGTCATCTGCAGACTTGGTGAGGGTGCGCTGTGTCCCAGCATCCAGGTCATAATGAAGATGTTGAACAGTATTCGTCCCAGTATTGACCCTGGGGTAAATCACTAGTGACTTGCCTCCAACTGTGCTTTGTGCTACTGATGACAACCCTCCGGTGCTCAGCTGCTCTGCCAGTTTTCAATCCACATCACTGTCTGCTTATCTAACCCACACATTGTCAGCTTGTCTATGATGTTATGGGAGACAGTGTCTGCAGGCTTACTAAAGTTGATGTAAGTAACATCAGCTGCTCTTCCCTCACCCGCCAAGCTAGTCACCTCATTGTAGAAGGGTCATGGCTGGCTTCCTCTTTGTAAAACCCTGCTGATTCCTCCCAGTCACATTCTTGTCTTTCATGCATTTGGGAATGCTTTCCAGGAGGATTGTAGTCATCACCTTCAATCGCCAGAGACTGATGTGAGGCTGACTAGCCTGTAGTTGTGACATCTGCTCTCCTCCAATCTTAAGGAACCTCTCCCTGCTGCCATGACCATTCAAGAGTGGCCTCACAATGACATCATCCCTCTCCCTCAGCACTCACAGGTGCAGTCTATGAGGCGATTAGGACTTACGTATGTCCAGTTTGTTTAAGCTCTCCCTAACCTGATCCTCCCCAGCAAGGGTAAGTCTTCCTTGCTCCAGACTTTCCTTGTGGTCTCAGGGACCGGGATTCCTGAAGGATGGTTTTACTGGTAAACACTGCGGCAAAGAAGGCATTGAGTACCTTGGCCTTTTCTGTGTCCTGTGTCACCAGGTCCCCTTCCCCATTCAGCAGAAGGCCCACATTTTCCCTCGTCTTCCTTTTGCTGTTTATGTACTTGTAGAGTCCTTTCTTGTTGCCCTTCACATCCCTGCGTGATTGGACAGCCTCTTTACTTCTGGGTCACCTGACCCCACTTCTGCCTCTTGTACTCTTCTTTTTAATGCCCAAGTTCAGTTAGGAGCTTCTTGCTCATCCATACAAGCCTCCTGCTGCCCTTGCTTTGTTTCCTACTTGTTGGGATGGACCTTTCTTGAGCTTGGAGGAGGTGATTCTTGAATATCAGCCAGCTGTCCTGGACCCCTCTTCTCTGCAGGGCTGTATCCCATGAGATTCTTCCAAACAGATACCTGAAGACGTTGAAATCTGCTCTCCTGCAATGCAGGTCTGTGGTCCTGGTTTTTGCCCTTCTCCTTCCTCTTAGGATCCTGAACTCTACCATCTCATGGTCACTGCAGCCAAGGCTGCTTCTAATTTTCATGTTCTTGACCAGTTCTTCCTTTTTTGTAAGTATCAAGTCCAACACAACTCTCCTTGTTCACTCTTCAGTCACCTGTGTCAGGAAGTTGTCATCAGAGCACTCAAGAAATCTCCTAGAATGTTTCATCCTGCTATTGCCCCTCCAGCAGATACCAGCGTGCTTGAAGTTCCCCATGAGGGCCAGGACCCATACACATGAGGCTTTCTCCAGCTGTTTGGAAAAGGTGTCATCTGTTTCTTTTTCCTGATCAGGAAGTCTTCAGCAGATGTCCACTACAACAGCACCCATGTTGGTCTGCGTGCTAATCTTCACCCATAAGCTGTTGCCAGACTCCTGACCCATCCCCAGGCAGAGCTCCGTCCACTCTAGCTGCTCTCTTGCATAAAGGACAGCTCCCCTTGCTCATCTTAGAATCATAGAATCGTTAAGGTTGGAAGAGGTCTTTAAGATCTTCAAGTCCAACCATAAACCTAGCACTGCCAAGTCCACCACTAAACCATGTCCCTAAGCACGACATCTACACATCTTTTAACTATCAGCAGGGATGGGGACTCAGCCAGTTCCCTGGGCAGCCTCTTCCAGTGCCTGAATACCCTTTCAGTGAAGAAATTTTTCCTAATATCCAACCTAAACCTCCCCTGGCACACCTTGAGGCCGTTTTCCTCTTGTCCTATCACTTGTTACTTGGGAGAAGAGACTGACCCCCACCTTGCTACAACCTCCTTTCAGGTAGGTGTAGAGAGCGATAAGGTCTCCCCTGAGCCTTCCCAGCCTGTCCTTCCTAAAATGTCTGTATTCCTCAACTGCAGCCTTCCAGTCATATGAGCTTTCCCACCACGTCTCCATGATCCCAATGAGGTCATAGCCCCATGACTACGCACACTTTAACTCTTCCTGTTTGTTCCCATGCGCTGTGCATTAGTGTAGAGGTATGCCAGAGAAGCACCCAAGCGTGCCGATTCCCCACCACAGACTTGAGAGGTTTCCCCACAGGGCTCTTTTGCTGCACCTCCTTCCTCATAGGCCTATGCTCAAGGGGATTCCACTTCATCTCAGTTGTGTGGATTGCCTTTCTGTTCCCATCAGCCAGGGTGCTTGCCTTGCCTGCCCTATCCCCAACTTCTTTACTTTTGTTTGTTGAGGAATTGCTCTGTCCCTTATCATTTCTAGTTTAAAGCTCTTCCTACCTGGTTGGCCAGCCTCTCAACGGATACCTTTGCCCCATTTTGTCAGACAGATCCTGTCCCCAGAGTGTTTATCTGTTACTCAGGTAAAAAAAAACGCTGTATTTTGGACTCACTTAAGCTCAAGGACTCAAACAACATTGATCTCAACTGCAACTACAGAATTTAAGAAGTTTTTGTCTTAGTTCTTCAGCCCTTTCACCGAAGTATTTGGCTGCTGAATATGTGGAAATTCTAATGTATTGAAGTTTCTTTGTGGTGTGTCTTATCCGTGAAGCATCTGGATGGCTGGCTGTATAGTTACACGTTTTGGGACAGAGTTACCAGGGTGCTGGTGGTAAAGGAGGCAATCACTACACAGTTACTGATGATTTAATAGTGTGTTTTAATAATTTCCAAAGGATGGCCATCAGCTATGGAAAACAGCTGGATCTAGTTCTGAAATTGCCTGGTGGCAAGGAAGAACGTAGCAGCAGTCAGACTGCGGAGTCCATGTAACTGAAAAATATAAACATGAGGCGTTTATTATATTTTTATACTGTGCTTGATATAGTGATACGCAAACTGAATGTGCTCCTTATGTTTATAAAGATTTAGTAACAACAATAATAAAGACAATAGCTTGTCTACTGATACAGTTGGCCCCTGTGGTGATGCCAATCACTGTAGAATCCAAGTGCAATATATCTTGTAGAATAAGACCAAATATAATACTGCACCATAAAAATAGCTTTTGGAAATCAATAAGCAGAGAAAATTCTGGCTCACATTTTAGCACATTTTTAAGGTTTGGCAAATTACTAAGTCTCATAAATGCTGCTAGAAAAAGTTGAAGTAATTTACCTGCAAGCGATGGTACGTTCAAATTTTGTGATAATTCTGTTAGATATTTTGCAAGATTTTCATAATAAGGTTTGAAATCCACTGTAGAGTTAGACCCTTCCAAAGAGAATTTTTGGCTGTCAGGTACAAATCTGAAATTATTTAAAAGAAAAAAGCAAATTCTTGGCAAGTGTTTAATACGGGGTTTTCAAGTTGTTATAGTGGTACAGACCTTTCTTTCACAGTATCTGTAATTTGAAATATGTGAAATATTTCCATTGGGCAATGTTGCTGTAGATAAAATGTAAAGTATTTATTCCGTACAGAGATTATGCTCAGCAAGCTTAAACTGTTAAAACTGTGATAGGGAGGAGTTCTCTCAAGGATTTGACTGAGTAGACTTTCTTTTTTCTTTGACTCAACTGTAGCAAAACTGTTTCAATCTTATGTTTTTTTATTTTTGTTTGTTGCATTGTTCTTTGTCTTACCGTCTTACTTATACCTGTATGTGTATTGCGTTTAATATGAAGTAACGGCAAAGTAAACATTTTCTGGTATCTAGAAAATAATAGTGTATCTGTAGTTTTCAATACACAGAAAATACTAGGGTAGTTGAATATTGGGGGAAAAAACAGTGGTTTATGCATAGAAGAGTCTTCTGTCCTAATAAATACACAAGGGGTTGCTTTGGCAACTCATGTTGACAAAGTATTAGACAAAATTATTTGTAATAGGTTGTCTAAGCAAAAATGATCAAGGCCTATTATGCTTGCAAATGTCATAAAATAGCTAGAGATTTATGATTTTTCTGCTAGAAATACAGGGAAATTAATAATTGACAAGTGATAGTTACTGTTGACTTCAGAAGCATTTAGAAAATAGCGGCAAACAAGATGGAGGGAGCGGCTCTGTCTTGCTGTAATAGTCACGTGTGGTCTTCCACCATTTTGCTGCAAGAGCAAACAAGCGTACTCTGTTAAAGTGACTTCTGTAGCGTGATGGCAGAGGGCTATAAACCCAGCTTATACCCCTTCAAAAATCATTCTTCAAAACAGGTGGTGCTCTTTAACCCAGGGGACCTGTGTGCCATTCTCTAGCTGCTGTAACTCACGTAGAGGTTACAGAGTGTGCTGCTGTTCGTGCTCTGTAGTTCTTTGCTGATGTGGTTGGTAGTTCATATATTTTCATCCACAGGTCCTACATTCAGTGTTAGAAGGTAGTGCGAAGAGGGGACATACTTGCAGTGGTTATACTGTCCTTACAACCACTAATCCACAGTCGGTCAGATGAATATTAATTTATTTACAGTAATGCTATTTCTATACAAAAATATATGTTAATAATCCGTGTGTGTGAATACATATTAATTTTATATAATACACATCTATAATAAATATATGTTGGTACTTATATTAAATATATATTAATACATCTATAATAAGTATCTATTTATATTTACATAAAGAATCAGTTTTCAATAAATACCTGTTATCTGCTGCCTCTGTTACTGTTAACTCCTGTGGGCCAGTCTGCATGAAGAGAACAGCTCCTCACTTCAAATTAGTTCGGTAGCTGAAGTGTTAAAAACTCTTTGCTGTGAACTTGCAGATTTGACATTCAAGCCCAACTGGTGATTTATGTGACAGTAATGTGTGTACATGTTTGTGCATGTTGTGAGCGCATACTGCATTTAGATGAGCCTTGCTAGTAACTGTTAAAAATTGCCTTACAATCATAAATTAATTTGGGTGTTACGTTGACTACTTTTTGTATTGGCATGTTTTTGAGAGCGCTTGAGGATAAGGGGAAGCCACGTCTTTCATAAATAGCATGTACCAAACAAAATGTATGTGAATGGGAGGAGGGCAGGGAGTGCTGAGGAGAGCAGAAACTTCCCTTGTCGGAGAATGAAATACCTCCATGTTTGTGCCCTACATGCATCAAAACTATTTAATAGGTAGCCCAAACAATTTGCCCCAAACCCAAGAGTATTCTTGGAGGAGTAGCATTGCCCCCCCTCAGGTGACTCGGTGGGTCAGAGCCTGGCTAATGAACAGTTCAGCTTTTCACCTCTAGGTGTGTTGAATGCTACTTTCTTTGTGGAATTGAAAATTACTGTCACCTAATCACTGGACAATTCTGTCTTGAGTGATACTGGGGGTTTATATCTAGATTTTGTCGAACTCATCATTACGCTTTATTCAAGGTTGAAAGTACTGTGAGACAAGGATTCAGCATATAGTACATGATACTGCGTTCAGCATGTAATATAGCAAGCCCTGATCTTTACTAGATCCCCAGTCTTGTATTTGGAAGCAAAATTTCCTTAGTCATTGTATGAGCATCAATGACAATGTCATTTCATACACAATGGCAGAGGTGGTGACTTTTAAAATTACCGATCAGATTTAAAAGAACAGCAACATTGTGTCTCCTAAAGTATTTTGTGAGTTTTGCTTTGTGGGTTACTCATTTTCCATAACTGAACATACAATATTAAAAAAAATGTTATCCATCATTGTTTTCAATTTTCTCATGTTATTACTTTGTCTAATACTACTGTGTTCTCATGTTATTACTTTGTCTAATACTACTGTGTTCTTTGACATATCTTATTCCTTAGTTAAGCTGTATAGATTTAATTTTTCAAGTTCATCCCTAAATTATCACTTCACATGTATTTAGTTAGTTACTGGTTTCTGAAATTCTGTTCAACGTTAAATATTTTCTGGGTTTAAGACTCTAATGTCTTTCTGTGAACAAAATAGAGCTAGTATGCCAGTGACACTGTATGAGTTTGATCACCAGGTAACTAAAGAAGTTTCAGTGTATATATATTGAAGAGAAGTATGTTTCTGCTAAAACTTAAAGAGGAATTTTCATAAAGCAAGATGAGGCAGGCTATGCTATCATAGGCTGTACCACTCAAGAATATTGCAGAGCCGCACATAAACTCAATTTAATATATCAAGTGTAGTTAAACAAAATAATTGAGAGGGATACAAGAGTGTTGTCTGTTAAGGTAGTAGCCTCTGCAACTGAAAAATGAGATTTGGCATCAAAACTAATACTATGAGAATAATCATGCTTCGGAGGTAAGGTGATACCTTTTCAACTCCAGACTTCAAGCCACTTCCAAGGACAGGATTATTTATGTCTTTCTGAAAATCTAAAACATTTTGAACACATCAGTAGGTAATGTTGGATACTTCACACACTTCATAACTGCTTGGTTATTCTATTTGCTTTATTAAGAAACTGCATTCAAAGTCCTGATTTTCATGTTGATCTAATGATCCCTGTCAGTGGCAGGGACACCAGTTTAAGTTCCATGTAGTTGTATAGAAAATTGGGTCTCCTGAAGGAACTGAAACATGTCTGTGCCAGCTTGCCAGATCAGTTGAATTTATTTATATAAAATCTGATTAGGTGGATCAGTATCAGGTTATATAAATCTTATTTGCATCAAAGTGGTTATTCCTGCACTGTTTGTCCTTAAAATTTAGATGGATTCTTACAGTACAGATATCCTTCTGTTCATGCAGAAATTATTCGTCTTTGAATGCAAAGCTTAATTGAACTATGCTAGCTGTAGTCTCCAGTAAATGCATGGATCACGGGGCGGCGCAGAGAAGACAGTTGTTTGCCCCAATTCTGTTACATTTCTGATAGCGATGTGAGCACAGCTGGTGGAAAATGGTGTTTCTGTGTCTCACAGCAAATCCTTTGTCTTGCAGGGCTATAATCCTCAGAGGACATGCTTTGCTTTCATCTTGCAGTTTTTCAAAGACACTCAGTCTCAGCTGTTAATTATTGAGGCTAAGGGTTATGAAACACAAAGTACTCTTCAGTGGCTTTATGAGGGTGCAGCATTGATGCATTCACAGTCTAGAGAGCTTTGAATGGTCAAGTGTACTTCATTTCTGTATGTAATTTCATAAACTCTTATATTAACAGAGAGCACCTCAAAGCAAGCATGATGCAGGTTCCCATGATACAGAGAGGCAGAATGAAGGTCAAGGAGCAGCAGAAATCAGCATGGCAACTAGCAGTACTGGTCAGGTAAATTGATTATTGTGTTTGTTGATAGTGTAATTAAATACTCAAAATGTACAATGCTTATATATTGGTAGATACCTTACGGTGTTTGTATGCCTGCTCATTTTAAAAAGATACATGTTTTTCTTCTTTCCATCTATACGTGAGAAAATTCTTGTATTTATTGGAAGGAAATGTTTTACTAAGATGAAGTATAAATATTCAATAACACAAGGAGCGTTTTTCTTTTGTTTAAATGATTAATGAGCCCAATGCTATGAAGGAGATAACAAGAGCGACTAACAGAAAATTTATTTCGTTGTAGGAGAACTGTAATATTAGAAGTATGGTTTAAGTATGGAAAATTGTTCAAATTTGCACTTCAAAAATTATCAGTGAAATATCATTGATGTTTAAAAAAAGAGGAGAATCAAATGGCAGGTTTATCATTAATTTTTCTTTAATACTGTTCTGGAGAAAGCTTTGAAACAGTTGTATCAATGAGGTAATCTCCTGGAAGTGGGCTGAAGGGTTATTTAAATGCTTTTAAATAATCTTTCATTGCTGTTCCTTTTATTAGTGAAATACATTAGTGGAATATTTTCAGGGGTACATTAAATTCTTTACTTGTCTTTTAAAACAAATATCTATAAAAATTTATGACTTGGGTCTTTGGCTAAAAATAGTTTTATTTATTTACCATGTGCTAATGATCATTCCCTTAATGATTTCCAACTGTAGCTGAGACATTCCCACTAGTAATTTGTGTTCTTAAAACTTTGCACTACGAATTTAATAGTTGAATTCATATGCAAAATATTTTTGCTACTCCAGGGAAGTAGAATTATTTAAGTCCTTCTGAAAGTGTCTTGTACAAAAAGATTTATCAGAAAGAATTGTGGTTTGGCTAGAATATTTCACTTGATTAAACATTAAGCATAGCCCATAATTTTGCTTTTGAAATATGTTTGATCACCATTCGGAATTAAGTTCCATCGGCCATATCTGAGCAATTGCTTGAGGCTTTGACTCTAACTCTTATGACAGCTTTATTGTTTGGGAAGAAAATAGTTCCGTGCTGCTTTGGGTCTGAAAGCATAATGTATTTAAATAATTGATGTGTTGTGGCTGTATCATCCATATTCAGTGTATGAATCGGGAGTTATTCTGAACAACAGATATTTTACAGGGAAGGAAGGAAGAAGGGATTGTCATGTCTTGGCAGACGTATGCAAGTGGGAGATTCATTCATACTTCATTTGAGATCTTATGTTGAGGATTTGTGCAATTTTGAACTTTGCCTCATAAAAATGTATAAAACATGCATATTCCTTCCTCCTGGAGGTGGATAGGGCACTGAATCTGTGTTAAAAGAGACATCTGGGGATTAGCTGCTTTCAGTGCAAGTCCAGACAGAGGAGGTTTAACGTATTGGACTCAACAGTTATTTCTGATAAACCAGCTCAATATATGTTGAGCAATCACTATTCAATTGAGTGAAGGAAAAAAAAAAAAAGTTTTAACCAAATCATTTGGTTCTAATTGATTTTGTAGTCATATAATCAATGTTAATTGAAATATTGCCAGTTGAATCCAGGATTTTTCAGGATTCAGTTATGTCCTTTTCTGCACCATCTTTCAGCTATCTTCTCTTTTCCCTTACACTCACTATCCTGCTGCTGAAGTACAATTTTTTTCATACCTTTGTTTCACAAGTTTTATAAAGGTATTCAATGAGATTGTCTATTTTGTTAAGAAAAATAGGGACACATTTTGCCACAAAATAGGGAAAATTACCTAATTGAAGAGTAAACAGCAAGCATAATAAAACAATGAGTGAAAGACAGTGAAGTATAAAAGGAGAAAATGAGATTAAGTAGGCAGATAGAAGATACTGAAAAAGAAGGTTTTACACAAGAAGGGTCCACGTAACATATTCCCATTTTCCCAGATGAATGGCTACACACCTTACGCTAGTTCTTCCACATCAGTGTTTATGAGCCAGTAAGAAATGTAGCTACGCTTCATGTGGGCATCCTGGCATCCTCAAAGTAGCAAGGCCACATGATGGCTCTGAAGGAAATAGTTATCGGAATCAAAGTTGATATGGTTTTGGGGTAATGATAGAAAAATTACGCTATTTCTGTCTACACCATGGTGACTTTTAATAGGTAGTGCTCCAGACTTCTGTCTTTTTTACCTTCTTGGATAAAACGATCATACTGAACCTAATAATGGAGAATTCTGGCATGTATATTATGTTGAACCTGTAATCCTCTGAATGTACTTTGAGGTCAAGATGATATGAAAGGATTACTCAGTGTAAAAATACGGGAATTCATTCCCATATTCCTAGCACTGCAGATTGTTTAAGTGAATAATTGAGAAAATCCAATATAATTTTCATTCTAAGCTTTAAGATTTTTATTTTTTCCTGTACTCAACAGAGAAAATAAGGGCTGTTTAGACAGGAAATATATCTCAGGATAAATTGTGTGAATATAAATCCTTCTAGTTCTAGTCTTTTAGCATAATACTTATTCTGGAACGTGCATGAAATGTTCCGGATTCAAATGGGAGAGCGAAGTGAGTATAATAATGTGTGTTTAAATATTCCAGTATAACTAGAATTTTTGTGTGTCTAGATGAACACTACATGAAGTTATACCTACCTTTTACTAATAGTCACTTTCAACTTCAAATTCAAGATGTTGAACTGTGTGAACAGCAAATACTTGGAGAGGAATAGTCTTCTTTCTTTATGGTGCACCTAGAAAACACATAGAAATTATTTCAAAGTATCTTCCATACAGATTTTTTCAGTGTGTGATACATCTTTGTTGGAAAAAAAATCATACTCATTGATCCAGATAGCTTGAAAATGTTGTTTTGCAAATTAAGCTAATAATTTCATGAACAGATTTTAGGTTTTGTAGAGCATCAACAAAAGACTGGTGTCTACCTCAGTAAAACAGTGTTCTGCTACTAAAAGAGTTCGGTCTTCAAATGTATTTTTAAGTTCTCCAAAGTGAACGGGAAGGCAGGGACATAATAAGGGAAAATCCACAGATAGGAAGCAGAGAAAATGAAAGAAAGCAACAACAAAGGGGAGGAAAAAAAGGCAAAGAGAGTGAGTGGATAAAAGATGGTAAAAAAAGGAAAAATGTGAATACACAAAATGGCTTAAAAGAGGACAAAGATGTGAATAACTGGGTCTTGCTACTACAGGTATGAGCATGCTATTTACAATAATTTCTAGGAAAATTACAGCAAATAGTGTCAGCATTTTATAGCTTTTCATTAAAAAATGAACTAGATTCATCCACTCATAATTTGCTTTTGATATGGACAAATTCAAGTAGGGTTACTCCTTGTCCAGATTAATCTCTTTTTACTTGCCAGTTCTTGCATACCTGGTTGTGTTCTGAAGAAGTACAGACTTACCCCTATGCACTACATAATCCGACATAAAAGTTGAGGCTGGGTTTTTTTTCCTCTGTAAAAATTACAGTTTGGTTTGTTGCAAAGTCCACTTCTCCTCCTTCCTGGTGCAAATAGTAATTATAAAATAATTCCATTGAAAATATAACCCTATTGAGACGATTTCAGGAAAAGTGGTTAATAAAACCCAGTTTAACAGTGACCTCTAAATTGTGTCAGGGCAGAGAGGACCTAACTTAACAAAACTAAGCTGACAGTTCATTACCGTGAATACGATTTCATGATCCAGTGCTGAAACTGAATTAGCCAATAGTTGTTTTTTCACACAGACTTTGTTTTATACTGAATTGTTGTTTAAATTCGTAGGCTTCTGCTGCTCGAATGGACCATGAGACAGCCAGTGTTATGAGCTCTAGTAGTAACTATTCTGTTCCTCGCAGATTGACAAGTCATCTGGGTACCAAGGTAACCGAAGATTACAAACCACAGGTCGCTAATGCTACATTTTTACTAATACAATAACCTCATTGTTTCTGCCAAAAGTACTAATATTAGTTGAACGATCTATCCACACATAGTAATTTTATGGAGTTAAAATTTTAGAATATTTTTTCAACTTTTAAACAGAAATCGTTTTTTAAACTTGATGATCAGTTATGAGTTGTTACAGTGAGGAAAAAACGGTTGCTAGAAATTACTAGAATATCTAGAAAGTTTGTGATGTTGATTTATAATCCATGATGAAAACTAACCCTTTTAAGAGCAGTTCTTCAAATACTTTTCCAGAGTCCAAATCCACAAAACAGATGCAATTGCTAAGAAATTAAAGGGACAAACAAACCCAGGACAAATTATGTAGGCCCTTCATGTTGATAAATGTCTGTGCATGAAAGACTGTGCTCAAAGTATATGTGCAGCATGAAAAGAGAGGGGAAGAAAAGGGCAGATCTGTAACACAACATTGAGTTAATGAACCACTGAAGTTTATACTGCCTCTGGAATCAGCAGCAGTGTACATACTATTGGTGTTGTGCTGAGCACAGTCTTCTGGGAAGCAGGGCCTATTAGCTTGACATAGTATTAATTACTTTGGGCCTTAAAACAGCGTTATAATGATGTCATTTCAGTCCTGCACTGTATGCGTGTACCAAATGGGGGTGACATCAGCTCTTCTGTCTGTCTACAAGTTTTCATTGCAAATTGTAGAATTCCCAAAACTGCAGACAACGGGAGAGCTCTTGAAGGCAGGGAAAGGGACTGAGTAGGGAAGGATAGAGGCAAAGAAATGGGTTGAACTGAGTGTGCTCGTGGGGTAGGAAAAGCGTAACATTAATGCATGAGAAGAAGGGAAAGTGGTAGAGATTCTAAATACAGGAATGCATTTACAAATGCAGAAAGAGATGTGTCTGTGGGCAGTGTGTGTATACAGAGAGAGACAGACAGACAAATAAGTTTTTAGTTTTTCCTAGACTGTATTTGCCACAACCTGGATGCTGGATTTTGGTGGCTTCTTCAGCTTTATTCTCTGACAAAATCTTTACCTGCCAAATATAAATAACACTGGATTAAAGCTGCCAATTGAAGTATTTATCTAAAGGCATGCATAAAGCACATTAAATTCACTCTCCTTTAAGAATCTAAGTGGTTTGTTTTAATACTGTATTTGATTTTTCCCAGACCAAGAAGACAGAATCTCCAAACTGGGATGCTAGGCTGTCATAAAATTGGCTCCAAGACTATTTCAGTGGATTTTGCATGTGATCATACAGTTTCACAGATTCTAAGCTTTCTACTTCTTCAGCAATCCTGTAGTATTTAGAGAAGTTCATGTTAACTTGCTGCTTAGTCTACCTACTGCTACCCAATTTTTTTATATTTCAGTATTTGTACTCATCTTCAGGCACATTAGAATTGTCTCTGAAGAAACCAAATAAAATCATTCATTGGTCTGGTAACCAGTGCAAATATCTAGTTATTAGTAGAAAACTTTGTCTAACAGTCCAAAGTCTCATTTCTTCCTTAATTGGTATGTTCTAAAGAAACACACATTCTGCTACTTTACAATTCCTTTTGATAGTTTCTTTATGTTGTGCTTTGATTTTGAATGTTCCTGTTTATCTTGGATTTGCGAGTTTGAAGTTTCTAGATAGTATCTAAAATCATCCTCTACAGCCTGTTATTCTACAAAAAGTTCACTAGAAGAACCAAATGCATTTCTTGATCTAAAGCTATTATTGAAGAAAACAGTGGGAAAGAGAAACCACATAGTGCGTTGACCACTGTATGACATGACAGCCAAGGGAGTTCCTCAAAAATTGCTATTTTTTTAACAAGAAATTTGATTACTCCAAGTTAAATGTGTAATGCTGGGTTTTCGTGGCTTGATTTAACTTGACAAATGCTCAGTATTTTATATGTATTAAATGAGCATTTCATTGCTTTACTGGTTTTATCCCTGTAAACTTGAAAAAGCGTTAATTTAACTCTTCAGTTTTGCCATTGCTGTAAATAAGCTAGTCCATATGCAAGTCAGTCATCATAACAAAAAATGATTAGTTAATTTGACATAATTTTAAAGGAACACTTCAAAATACATGGATGTAAGATTTTTTTAGCACAATGCAAGTTAAAATTTCATGTAATCATTCTTATCCTTTGTCTAGAATAATTGTATTTAACGCCACATAACAAAGTTTTTCACTGCAGAGCATCTTTACATGAAAGTGTGATTGATACAGAGCATATTTTTATGCGACAGAATTAATTTTAAATATAAGATTTCTCAATCACTTTCATTAGTATGTTTGTTTAATCTTTTTGTACAATAGAAATGTAGAAGTCTTTGCCATTGGTCTTGTAGATTAATAGTTACATACAGCTACCACCCACTTCTAGCCATTTAACCACTAAGTGAAATTTATTAAGATTATGAATGCTGAAGTAGTAATAGTACTTAATTATTTCTAAATAGCACTGTTTTTTGCACCATTAAATAAGGCCTTTTAATTTAATGTGTATTTTTTAAATGTAACTGTATTTTTAAAATCATTTGACCTGCAGGTGGAAATGGTGTATTCATTATTATCAATGCTTGGTACTCATGATAAAGATGACATGTCAAGAACATTGCTGGCGATGTCTAGCTCCCAGGACAGCTGCATAGCCATGCGTCAGTCTGGATGTCTTCCACTCCTCATCCAGCTTTTACATGGCAACGATAAAGACTCTGTCTTGTTAGGAAACTCTCGTGGTAGTAAAGAGGCCCGTGCCAGAGCCAGCGCAGCACTGCATAACATCATTCACTCCCAGCCTGATGACAAGCGAGGCAGACGGGAAATCCGCGTGCTCCATCTTTTGGAGCAGATCCGTGCTTACTGTGAAACATGTTGGGAATGGCAGGAAGCCCATGAACAAGGCATGGACCAAGACAAAAACCCAAGTAGGTTCTGCAAGCCGTTTAAAAATGTTTCAAGGTTATATTGAAAACAGTAAATTTACAGAAAGTGCAACTTTAATCTGACTTCTTATTGAAGTATGTGAGTTTTCTTGTGTATGTGTGTGTATGTGTTTTTAAGTTGAGGTAGTGTTAGGAAATAATATCTGTTACAGAGATTATACCCTATTTATAAACTTGTTATTTAAATCATAGACCTTGGTGTGCTTTCCAGATAATAATTCTAGTGTTTTATAGTCTGTAAACGAATATTGAATATGTACTCATTCTATTTTACATTTTAATGGATAATGAAACATATCTAAATAAACCCAAATTGCTTTTCATGCAGATGTAGTCAGATAGCACATTTCGTTTAGGAGAGGGACAGAGAGAATAAATTAAATAATTTCAATCTATTCAATATAATCTGAACTGTTATTTATAATGTTGTATGTAAGAAATACTTCTGTATTAAAATAGAAGATAGCGACAGTCTAAGTGAATAGGAGTTTTCTCAGGGAACAGATAGAAAAAAGATTTAACCTTCTCGATTGCGTAGCTGCTTTTCTGAATTGAGGGTATTCTGTAAATACAGGCTGTAGGAGTCTGTGACAGAAGCACTACTGAAATCACTGGTCTGCGTCATGGCAGTTGGAGTTTACCGCAAAAACCATTTAGCAGGAGTGGGTCTCTGAACAAGATGTACCAATACCATTTGTGCATTAGCCAGAATCTAGCTCACAAAATTATGAACTTAAAAACTTCTCATTTATGAAACAAAGGGTTTAATTAACCATTCATAAGGACATAATCAAAGAAACAGCTTTGCGTTAGGTGGTGTATTATTTAATGCCACTAGAATATTTAACCTTATTGATTTGTTTGACTAAGATTATTAATTTTTAAAAGTAATAAGATTTTTTTTTTTTTACTGGGAGTCATATTTCTTACTTAATACATACATTCAGGATTCCCTCTAATTTCTTTTTCAGCATCAAATATATTTCTAGTCCACACATTTGTTAGTAATATTCTTAACTAATTGTTCATTGATTACTGGGAAGATACAAACCCTGAACAAAACTGCATTTGATTTATCTTAAGATTAGATTCGCTTTGGAAAACTTACGATCTAGATAAAATCACCTAGGAAATACTAATTGTTACCTATTTCTGGATCAGTGCCTGCTCCAGTGGATCATCAAATCTGTCCCGCTGTGTGTGTTCTGATGAAACTTTCATTTGATGAAGAACACAGGCATGCGATGAATGAGCTTGGTAAGACCAAATGTATTTCTCTGACTTCCTTTGAGAAGCTTGCTGGAAACGCTGACACTCCTTCTGTACCTCGCTGGATATATGGCTGTTTTTTACTACTAGTTTAAACAGATCGTCTGTTCATTTGTGTCAGTTGTTCCCCTCTAAGTGATGAATGTGGTTTAAATTAGCCAGACCATTTCCCGGTGGATAAATTATGTCAGTTACTCTTTCTTCTGGCATGAATTACGAATTGTCGAGGAGTATGATGATGATGATGATTATGATGATGATTATGATGATGATGATGATGATGATTATTATTATTATTATTATTATTATGGAAATATTTGCAATTTTAGAAGTACTGGGCTTACAATGGAGACTGCTTTCCAGGATGGGAGGTTTTTTGTTGGTGTTCTGTTTTCAGGATTTTTTTTGTCACGAGTTGGTTCCTGTTTAACAGCCTGAATTTTTTAGTCCTTTCTCAGTAAATTCTGTGTATACAATTTTCTTTAGTTTGCCACTTTTCATTATTGATGAGAATATTCTATGTATTTTTCTCAGAAAATAACATTCAGTGATGATAATTAAATCAGTAATTTTCAGATTTACTAAATAGCCTTTTATGTAACTGTTGGGTGTTCATTGGTCAAACATGATTTTGGCTGGGCGGAATTAAAAAATGAGCGTGCTTCTTACTTTCTCATAATTCCTTCTGTTCCCATTGTCCCCTGAAATCTCAATGTCATGCTATCATACCTTTCAGCTGCTACTAAGCACAGGATTCAAGATCCAGAGTCAGTATTTAACAATTTATTTCTCTTTCTGAGCCTTCTCGTTTTCAGATGTTGGAGATTTGTTCTGTACATATAAATGCAATTTTCTCCTTGGTATATATGTACTGTACTTGTGATATTAGAGTACAGGTATTATTTATTTTCTTATTTGTTTGTTTTTAAAGGAGGTTTGCAGGCCATTGCTGAACTGTTGCAAGTGGATTGTGAAATGTATGGACTTACAAATGATCACTATAGTGTTACCTTAAGGAGGTATGCTGGAATGGCTCTGACAAACTTGACTTTTGGAGATGTGGCAAACAAGGTAAGAGTAGAGTTTTAAACATGCAGTCATGTAATTTCATAGCTATGTTTGAATTGTAGTTCTCAAGACAGGTGATGAAAATCTCTGGGATAAGGTATCGAGTTTGAGCTCAAGACAGAAGTTCAAAATACCTCTGTCATTCCATCCTGTTCCTGACAGAGGGCACCACAAACTGAATGTTGCATCATGCAAGTATAGTATCAACTCTCATATTAAATTAAGTCACTTTTAATTTGTCACTGAAAGTAAGGATTTTATCTAGTGGCTTAATTTTTTTTATGAGCATTAGATTAGTATAGCACATAATGATTACGGACCAACAATTACAGATAGTGACTGATTTTTCTGAGGATGTTGAACTAAAACTGCTAATCGAGTCAAATCATGTAAAGTTGTCAGTTATTTAACAATACTATTACCGTCTGATGAAATTTTGCAAACCTTTTCAGGCTGGAGCTTGCTTTTAAATATTTGGAGCCCGTCTGGCTCATAATGGGCACTACTTCAGATTATTGTAAGAGAAAATAAATTCCCTGATTTCTGACAAGGACCTTGCTTTCAAAAGATAGAAAGCATCCATAATTTCTTGCCCCAGAGTTTGCCAAGCTATGGATCTTAAAATAACTTCACACGGAGAAGACTTTTATCTTTCTACTCTAGAGGAAGACATTTCAGGAGTGAATGGAACTAACAGGCTTCATATATCTTGCTTTTTATTCCAAGTTTAGACAAGAGTAAAGCATAAATCCTTGCTGCAATTGAATTGCTTCACAAAATACTGGCTCTTCACATCATCCAATCAGTAACTCCTACAGGGCTGCAATTACTGGGTTTATATCATAAACTAAACTACTCAGATATAAATGTACATGCTGTCCAGCTGACAAGTAGTACCGTTCTAACACGTACTTTGTTTTTGAATAATTTTTAATTGTGCTTTGTCACAAACAATTTCCAACATAAGCCTCACAGTTTTTCAGTTGCTATTGTATTCTTAAAAAGTTGTTCTTCAAATGTCAGAAATGTTTTTATACTTGTGTCAGTTTTAAATATTCATATTATTTTCACGCTATGTTTATTTGAAATAAGAAAATATGATTGTGAGACTCAGTAGACAGTATGTAACAACACGTTACCAGCTCACAGGTGATTTATATCTGGCGCATAGTAAAGAAGGCTTCTAAGGTAGTAAAGTTCTAGATCGAGTCCTAGACCTGTTGTAAAAAATAGAAAATTTAGTACAATTTTACCACTTACGTATTGTCCAGAATAGAAACTGATAGTTATGCTTAACTTTTTAGTAGTTGTAAACCAAATATTTATTGTTGGCAACATATTTTACTAACCTTTTATTGAACTTCAGGTATGATTAGCTTAAAATATCAACACATTGTGCAGAATCAAGCCACCTAACCTGTCATTTAATACTATTCACTTGCTTTTTTTTTCTGATTCCTAACAGGCTACATTATGTTCTATGAAGGGCTGCATGAGAGCTCTTGTAGCCCAACTGAAATCTGAAAGTGAAGACTTACAGCAGGTAACATCCTTTTGAAATGAAATATTTCTTTAGCTTGGACATTTCCATCACTTTCCATGCCATGAATTTCATTGCATTGTATGAAAATACCGTATTTCTGTTTTCCTTTCTTAATATTTACCTTCCTTCTACTCATTTGGCCTTGCCACCAGTTATTTTTATACTTGAATTCTATGATCTTCATGAGGTTTCTAGTGTGCTGTCCATAGCCAGCCTTCTCTTTTTTTTTAATTTGGCACTCTCTTCGAAATATGCTTCATTCGTCCCAGCCTGATTTTTTTTTTTTATCATTGTTCCTATGTCGTCTTGTCTACCTTGACTTTGATGCAAAGTTTGTACCTGTACTCGTTCCACAAATTATGAAGTACAACTTTCTTCTTGTAAAAATGTTTAACTGTGGGTCATATTCTGGTTTTTTACCAAAGCACATGCGCTATAAAACTCACTTTTATGACACTGATCTTTTAGTGGAGGTTTTAAAGATGAGTTTGAGTGATCTTAGATTCTCTGATTTATTATGATGGTGCTAATGCAGTGCGATTACGTGGAGGGTTAATACACTGTTGTGACTCCTCCTACAGTTGCAGCAAGTAAATAATAGGGGAATAAAAGTAGAGGAAGCTGTATTTCCAGAGAATCTGCATTTGACTTGACAAGTCATACATAGCTACTCTCGACACCAGCACCTCGTGGTGTGTCTCCACTTACTGCGGCCCGTAAATGGATGGAGTTTAATATGTAATGACTGTCCACTGTAGTGACAGTCTTTCTCAGTCTAGCTGCTGACAAGGACATAGGCTGAATGGCTACTCGTCTTCAATTCTGATTGTAAAAGTGTATTTTTAAAAGACTTTAAAGAGCTTTATAAACATTAATCAAAGTGATCATACCATCTGAGAGACAGGCAAGTATTATTGTTCTATTTCACAAGCAGAAGAGATGAGAAAAAGATTATATAAATCTCTCCTGAGATTATGTAAGTCTAGTGCTGACATCAGAGCAGAGCACAATTCCGAATTTTTGGACCAATTTTTCAACCAGAGTGGAAAGCAGGGAACTTGATTTCAAATCTTTGTTTTAGGTACCCACACAGAAAAGCCTGTACCTTTGATGAAACTTCATACTGAAATGTTAGACCACTCTAGCAGGCAACACAACAAAAAGCAGATTTTAGCCAAAGGGCTAGTTCAGTAGCTGAACGTGACCACTGTTAATTAATCCACAGCATTCCAGAAATCCAGGAGGAAAGTCTGATAACCTGCTAAAGAAGTAGCTATATTGAGATACATTCCTTTTCTTTCGCGTTTTGCAGGTCATTGCAAGTGTATTGAGGAACTTGTCCTGGCGAGCAGATGTAAACAGTAAAAAGACTCTAAGAGAAGTTGGCAGTGTGAAAGCATTGATGGAATGTGCTTTAGAAGTTAAGAAGGTATCCTGTATAAATGATTGAGAGAAATTTTGGAGAGATTGCATTTATTTTACACGAAACACAAATATTGTCCTTTTTGACAGAAGCAGTTAGTCAAATATTTGGAATGTTTTAGGTAACTTGCTTTGAAGAAGGGAGTTGCTTTGAGTTAACATGGCAGCAGACCACAATATAGCAATAACATCTCAAAACTACTAGTATTTCTGTAATTTTATTTATAAAGGTTGACAGCTTTTGCTCTTCAGTTTCATGAGCTGTGCTGTTGCAATGGCCTTTTTTATAGTTTTGCAATTTAATAAAACCTTTTGAGTTAATGAATAGGTAACTACCACTTCTGTAATTTTCTAGATATATTTTGGGTATCCAGACAGGATTATATTCCGTCCCACATTCCCCTGCCAGTTAGTCTTCAAGCCATTTTAACAATTATGGCATCTAACAAGTATTGTGGCACGTATTTCTGAAAACTTGGGGACAAGCAATACCAAATCCATAGCTGAAGAAAGGAGAGAAGCGAACAAAAGTATTTACATGTGCACTGCTGCCTGCATCTAGCTTACAAGTCCAGAAGGCAGAAATTGGAACATAGATAACTCCTTAACATTAACTTACGTATTTCTGAGAGGTTGTGATCAATAGTTGAAAACTTCTCTAATTCTGTCGTTCTGTTATTTTCCTAGGAATCCACCCTAAAAAGTGTTCTGAGTGCCTTATGGAATTTGTCAGCACACTGTACCGAGAACAAAGCTGACATATGTGCTGTTGATGGTGCTCTTGCATTTCTAGTCGGCACACTGACATACCGGAGCCAAACAAACACTTTAGCCATCATAGAAAGTGGAGGAGGAATATTAAGAAATGTTTCTAGCTTAATTGCTACTAATGAGGACCATAGGTGGGTATACTTTTTCTGAAAATCTTTAGCAGTTCCACATGTATATTTAGTAGACAGTTTCTACTGTCTTAAGACAGAGTCTTAATATGAATGCATGTATTAAGTGCAGTAATTGAGTACAGTTAATTTTTAATGCATTTGATAAGGCAAGTATTTCACTTACATAGCAGGAATATGCAAACACATTAATACCTGCTGCTTGTTAATAATGAACTGTACTAAAAGCTAACTATTCATATTTGTAATAATATTTGATTAATATTCAGATGAAAGCTAGAGGAAAAATGAGATAAATTTGCACTGGAGAATTCATGATTATCCTTTCAAAGGGCAAAACTTGCCTCTAGCATAATAGGTTTTTGTTTTGCTTTGTCTCTTATCCTTTTGAAATGCCACTTACTGATGTTTGTTTTCAATTACTCAATGCCAGGCAAATCCTGCGAGAGAACAGCTGCTTACAAACCTTGTTACAACACTTGAAGTCACACAGTTTGACAATAGTCAGTAATGCATGTGGGACCCTGTGGAATCTTTCTGCACGAAATGCAAAGGATCAGGAGGCGCTGTGGGACATGGGAGCAGTCAGCATGCTGAAAAATCTCATCCACTCAAAACACAAAATGATAGCCATGGGTAGTGCTGCAGCTCGAAGAAACCTCATGGCAAACAGGCCAGCAAAATATAAGGATGCCAACATCATGTCTCCAGGATCAAGCTTACCATCTCTTCATGTCAGAAAACAAAAGGCACTCGAAGCAGAATTAGATGCTCAGCATTTATCAGAGACTTTTGACAACATTGATAATTTAAGCCCGAAAGCATCTCACCGTAATAAGCAGAGACATAAGCAAAATATATACAGTGAGTATGTCTTGGACTCCAGTCGGCATGATGATGGTATATGCAGATCAGAGAGTTTTAATGCTAGTAATGTGACTGTACTTTCACCATATTTAAATACTACAGTATTGCCTGGCTCCTCCTCTTCCAGTAGAGGAAACATAGAAAATTCTCGGTCCGAGAAGGACAGAAGTCTTGATAGAGATCGAGCAGTAGGCTTAAATACCTATCATCCAGCTGCAGAGAACACTGGGAACTCCTCTAAGAGAATAGGAATGCAGATTTCTACTGCTGCAGCTCAGATCACCAAAGTTATGGAAGAAGTAACAAGCATGCATGTTCCACAAGAAGACAGAAGTTCTGGTTCCACTTCTGAAATGCACTGTTTGACAGAAGACAGAAAAGCCCCAAGGAGATCAGCCACTGCCCATACTCACTCAAATACATACTTTCCTAAATCTGAGAATTCAAACAGGACATGTCCTGTGCCTTATACAAAAATGGAATACAAGAGAGCTTCAAATGATAGTTTAAATAGTGTCAGCAGCAGTGATGGCTATGGTAAGAGAGGCCAAATGAAACCTTCCATTGAATCTTACTCTGAAGATGATGAAAGTAAATTTTGTAGTTATGGTCAATATCCAGCTGACTTGGCACATAAGATTCATAGTGCAAATCATATGGATGACAATGATGGAGAGCTAGACACTCCTATCAATTATAGTCTTAAATACTCAGATGAACAGTTAAATTCTGGAAGGCAAAGTCCCTCTCAGAATGAAAGATGGGCACGGCCTAAGCATATAATAGATGATGAAATGAAACAAAATGAACAAAGGCAATCAAGGAGCCAAAATGCAACGTACCCAGTATACACTGAAAGTGGAGATGATAAACACATGAAATACCAGTCACCTTTTGGACAGCAAGAGTGTGTTTCTTCCTTTAGATCAAGAGGATCCAATGGTTCAGATCAGAACAGAGTAGGTTCAACTCTTGGAATGAATCAGAAAGTAAACCAGTCCTTGTGCCAGGTTGATGATTATGATGATGATAAGCCAACCAACTATAGTGAACGCTACTCTGAGGAGGAACAACATGAAGAGGAAGACAGACCAACTAATTATAGCATGAAGTACAATGAAGAGGAACATCATGTCGATCAGCCTATTGATTATAGTTTAAAATACTCAACAGAAGTTCCTCCTTCTTCTCAGAAGCCATCTTTTACTTTTTCAAAGACTTCTTCAGTGCAAAGCACTAAAACTGACCATATTTCCTCAAGCAGTGGGAACACATCAGCCCCCTCAGCCAGTTCAAAGAGACAGAATCAGCTTCACCCAAATTCTGCACAGAGCAGAGGTGGTCATGCGCAAAAGACTGCCTCCTGTAAAACTCCCTCTATTAATCAGGAAACTATACAAACTTACTGTGTGGAAGATACCCCAATATGTTTTTCAAGGTGTAGCTCTTTGTCATCTTTGTCATCAGCTGAAGATGAAATAGGACGTGATCAATCCACACGTGTGACAGATGCTAATAACACACTGCAGATAGCAGAACTAAAGGAAAACAGTGGGGCTCTATCTACAGAAGGTGCAGTAAGTGAAATCACGTCAACATCACAACACATCAGAACAAAATCCAGTAGACTTCAGACTTCTAGTTTGTCTCCTTCTGATTCCTCTAGACATAAAGCTGTTGAATTTTCTTCAGGTGCCAAATCTCCCTCAAAGAGTGGTGCACAGACTCCTAAAAGCCCACCAGAACATTATGTGCAGGAAACGCCACTCATGTTCAGCAGATGTACTTCTGTAAGTTCCCTGGATAGTTTTGAAAGCCGTTCAATTGCTAGTTCAGTTCAAAGCGAGCCTTGCAGTGGAATGGTAAGTGGTATTATAAGTCCTAGTGACCTTCCAGACAGCCCAGGACAAACAATGCCTCCAAGCAGAAGTAAAACGCCACCCCCGGCTCAAGGAGTTCAAGTAAAAAGAGATGTAGCTAAAGGTAAAGTACCTAGTGCAGAAAAGAGAGAGCCTGGTCCTAGACAAGCAGCTGTAAATGCAGCTGTTCAAAGAGTTCAGGTACTGCCAGATGCTGATACACTATTACATTTTGCTACAGAAAGCACACCAGATGGGTTTTCTTGCTCTTCTAGCCTAAGTGCTCTGAGTCTTGATGAGCCGTTCATACAGAAAGATGTAGAGTTAAGAATAATGCCTCCCGTTCATGAAAACGAACATGGAAATGAAACAGAACCTGAACAGTCTGATGATACAAAGGATGACCAAGAGAAGAAAGTGGAGAAGCCTACTGAAGCAGAAAAAGACATTCTGGATGATTCTGATGATGATGATGATATTGAAATACTGGAAGCATGTATTATTTCTGCAATGCCAACAAAGTCTTCACGTAAAGCCAAAAAGCCTTCTCAGGCATCTGCTCCAAAAATACCTCCTCCTGTAGCCAGAAAGCCCAGCCAGTTGCCAGTTTACAAACTTCTGCCTTCACAAAGCAGATTGCAGTCCCAAAAGCATGTGAGTTTTACACCGGGAGATGATATGCCACGGGTATATTGTGTTGAGGGTACCCCAATAAATTTTTCAACAGCTACATCTCTGAGTGATCTCACAATAGAATCACCCCCGAGTGAGTTGGCCAACGTAGACGGTACAGGAGCAGAGTCAGGGGAGTTTGAAAAGCGAGATACCATTCCTACAGAAGGTAGAAGTACTGATGACTCACAGAGAGCAAAAAGCTCAGCTGTGACTCCCCCAGGCCTGGATGATGACAAAACAGAAGAGGGTGATATTCTGGCTGAGTGCATTAACTCAGCTATGCCAAAAGGAAAAAGTCACAAACCCTTCAGAGTGAAGAAGATAATGGATCAAATTCAACAAGCGTCTTCAGCTCTAAGTAATAAAAACCAACCAGAAGGTGAGAAGAAGAAGCCAACATCACCAGTAAAGCCTGTTCCCCAAAATAATGAATACAGAGCACGTATAAGAAAAACCACAGAGCCTAAAAGCAATATTAATAATGAAAGAAGCTATCCAGAGAACAGAGACGCAAAGAAACAGAATCTTAAAAATAATTCAAGAGATTTTACTGACAAATTGCCAAATAATGAAGAGCGTGTAAGAGGAAGCTTTGCATTTGATTCCCCTCATCATTACACACCTATTGAGGGCACTCCTTATTGTTTTTCACGGAATGATTCCCTAAGTTCTTTAGATTTTGATGATGATGATGTTGACCTTTCAAGGGAGAAGGCAGAGTTAAGAAAAGGAAAAGAAGCAAAGGAAGCAGAAACTAAAGACTGCACTAATCCAGAACAGTCTTCAAATCAGCAACCAAGTAACAGGACACAAGTTTGTCAAAAACACCCAACAGGCAGAAGCCAGCCTAAAGCTTTCTCTCAGTCAACTAAAGATATTCCAGACAGAGGAGCAGCTACAGATGAGAAAATGCAGAATTTTGCTATCGAAAACACACCTGTTTGTTTTTCTCGCAATTCATCTCTTAGTTCCCTCAGTGATATTGATCAAGAAAATAATAACAAAGAAGGGGAACCTGCAAAACGTACTGAGGCTCCTGATTCACAGATGGAATCAAACAGACCACAGACTTCTGGTTATGCACCTAAATCATTTCATGTTGAAGATACTCCTGTATGTTTCTCTAGAAACAGCTCTCTGAGTTCTCTTAGTATTGACTCAGAAGATGATCTTTTGCAGGCACCATTTCATCTTACCCCAGACCAAGAAGAAAAACCTTTCACTAGTAATAAAGGTCCAAGAATTCTTAAGCCAGGAGAGAAGAGTACACTGGAGTCTAAAAAAGCAGAATCCGAAAGTAGGGGAATCAAAGGAGGGAAGAAAGTGTATAAAAGTATAATTACAGGAAAAGCTCGCTCCAATTCAGAAGTTTCAAGCCAGTTGAAGCAACCACAACAGACAAGTGTGCCTTCAATTTCACGTGGGAGGACAATGATCCATATTCCAGGAGTTCGAAATAGTTCTTCAAGTACTAGTCCTGTTTCCAAAAAAGGTCCACCACTGAAAAACACGAACTCTAAGAGTCCCAGTGAAGGCCAAAGTTTGACTAGTTCTCCAAGAGGAGTCAAGTCATCAGTGAAACCTGAGCCGGCTCCTGTAACTAGGCAACCATCAGGGTTGAACCAGAGTGGATCAAGTAAAGGACCTTCTAGGTCAGGATCTAGAGACTCCACTCCATCTAGACCTCAACAGCAGCCATTAAGTAGGCCTCTGCAATCTCCCGGCCGAAACTCAATTTCCCCGGGAAGAAATGGTATAAGTCCTCCCAACAAACTGTCTCAGTTGCCAAGGACATCATCTCCTAGCACAGCTTCAACTAAATCTTCAAGTTCAGGTAGAATGTCATATACATCACCAGGCAGGCAGATGAGCCAGCAAAACCTTACAAAGCAAACTGCCTTACCTAAGAGTACCAGTAGCATTCCACGAAGTGAGTCTGCTTCAAAAGGGTTAAACCAAGCTCTCAGCAGTGGAGGATCAAACAAAAAGACTGAACTATCCAGAATGTCATCCACAAAATCTAGCGGAAGTGAATCTGACAGATCTGAGAGACCTGTTCTCGTTCGTCAGTCAACTTTCATTAAAGAAGCTCCGAGCCCAACTCTAAGACGGAAATTAGAAGAGTCAGCTTCATTTGAATCTCTGTCTCCTTCCAGGCCAGATTCTCCCACAAGGTCCCAACTACAGACCCCAGTTTTAAGTCCATCTCTTCCTGATATGTCTTTATCCACTCATTCAACTGCCCAGACTAGTGGTTGGCGAAAATTACCCCCTAATCTGAGCCCATCTGTAGAATATGATGGGAGACCAGCGAAACGTCATGATATAGCTCGTTCTCATTCTGAGAGTCCATCTAGACTGCCGATCAATAGATCGGGAACATGGAAACGTGAGCATAGTAAGCATTCCTCGTCACTTCCTCGTGTAAGCACTTGGCGAAGAACTGGAAGTTCCTCCTCAATTCTGTCAGCTTCTTCAGAATCCAGTGAAAAGGCAAAAAGTGAAGATGAAAAGCAACATGGAAGTTCTCTTTCTGGACACAAGCAAAGTAAAGAAAGTCAAGCACCAGCAAAAGGTACTTGGAGAAAAATAAAAGAAAATGAAATTCCTCAGATAATGAATGATCCTCAGCATTCTTCCTCAGGTGCCACAAATGGCTCCGATTCCAAAACGCTCATCTATCAGATGGCACCAGCTGTCTCTAAGACAGAGGATGTGTGGGTGAGGATAGAGGACTGCCCGATCAACAATCCTCGATCTGGAAGGTCCCCAACTGGAAATACTCCGCCTGTTATTGACAGTGTTTCAGAGAAAGGGGGTGTGAATGGTAAAGATCCTAAAGAGATTCAAGAAAAACAAATTGCAGGGAATGGAGGTGTTCCTGTTCGTACCATTGGTTTAGAAAACCGTCTGAACTCTTTCTTTCAGATAGACAGTCCAGACAAGAAAGGCACTGAAACAAAGCCTCTGCAGAATAATCCCGTTCCTGCACCAGAAAATAATGAAAGTACTGTAAGCGAGCGTACACCATTCAGTTCCAGTAGCTCAAGCAAACATAGCTCCCCCATTGGTGCTGTTGCAGCAAGAGTGACTCCTTTCAACTACAATCCAAGCCGCAGAAAGAGTAGTGTGGACAATAGTTCTGCTCGGCCATCACAAATACCAACACCGGTAAACAACAGCACGAAGAAACGTGACTCCAAGTCTGAAAATCAAGACTCCAGTGGAACTCAGAGTCCTAAACGTCACTCTGGCTCTTACCTGGTAACTTCTGTTTAAGTGCAACAAAAAATAAATAAAACTGATGTATTATATACAGCAGCTACTTAGAAACTGTTTCAAATGAAACTTTAAAAAAATGGGGATTAACTTTTTTGTTGTTCTTATTTGTTGTAAATAGGTTTGATTCTTGTTAGAGGGTCCTTGTTCTGGAAGCCATATTTGATAGTATACTTTGTCTTCACTGGTAATATTTTGGAGGAATACCTGATTGACAGTTTGGAATAAAATTGCTAACGCAAGTATATTTGTACAGTATGTTTAACATGTATTTAATTAGCATCCCATCCCATAATCCTTTAAATATTGCTTGTCGTTGAAATCATGGAACATTGCAGATAGGGATGATACAGTCATATTGCTTTATCAATCATTTCTAGATTACAGACTGACTAAACTACATCAGGGAAAAATTGGTATTATTTATGCAAAAAAAGTATACTCAGTTTTAGTATTTGTGAGTCCATCTAACCCAATAATTAATCATGTGGCTGTGAAATTCACAGTAATATGGTTTCTGCTGAACAAGCTTTCCCAGCCTGCTTTTCTGCATGAATGGAACTGATGGTTCATTTTCTGAAGTAATGATTAACATTTCTGTGGTCACATAATGTGCATAGATAGTTATGGTGTAACAATTTACACTTTCTTTGTGCTCTGCAAAAAAAAAAAAAAAGGAAAACTGTGTAACTGTAAAACCTTGAACAAAATTATTTTACCTGAATTAGATTTTATCTTAAAGTAGGTAGAATTTTTTTGCTATGCTGTAACTTGTTGTATATTCTGGTATTTGAGGTGAGATGGCTGCTCCTTTATTAATGAGACATGGGTGATGTCTCAACAGAGACTAAAATGAACATTTCAGAATAAATTATTACTATATGTAAATTGTGTGTGTTACTTCTGCATTACATAAAAATACAGTATTTTATTTTGAGATGTCACCATATAATGTGTTGCATAATGCACTTACATTTAAGGCCTGATCCAGAAGAATCTTGCACCTCCAATATTCATTCTTCCTATCACTGACAAATGGCTGTTGTAGGATGCCTAAACAGTTGCAGGATCAGGCACTAGGTCTTCTGTAATATATTTGTAATGGAGACAGTTTCACACATCTCAGGTGCATAACAAGGCTAAACGCAGGGTATTTCCAGTAGCCAAGCAGTATAATTGTTTTCATGACTGCAAGCCTGAAACAATATTGTATGTACCAAAATTGTATTTGTAAACCAAAAGATTTTTTTTTTAATTGGGGGAAATAATGTAGAATGTGAAATAGTGACTATAAGATGAAATTTTAATTCTATTTGAAATCTTCAAGCATTTTTTTTAATTTATTTTTTAAAAATTATGAATGGGAAAATATTGCAAGAATCCCATGGCAGCAAGAAATTTGTTATCATAGTAGAAAAACAATTTTATACACAAACCAGGACATTTGCTGCCTCAAACCTTTTTAGTGCGAATGTGGTTTGTGCTAGAACAATACTGAAAAGACAGATATGTGCTTTAAGAATATAAATATAGTCTGAATTTAGATGAGAATTTGTTTAAAGTAGAAACGTGAGAGAACAGAACATGAACCAAACTGTGCATGATTGAACAAACCATGAAACGGCATATCAGTTTTGTTGTATCTCAACTGGCCTATTCTAAAGTTAGCATTCTAAATAATTTATATTCAGGATTCAAGTTGCAGAGCGTATCACATCTGTGGCTTTTGTACTTCATCTGATACTGAAATTAATCCATTTTTATTTTGAGTTAACCATAAGACATGCACTGTTTATGAACAGAATTGAGATACTATCAGCAGACAGAAGTCAACTGAGATAAAGTTAAAAGCCAATACCAAAAATAACCTGTTTGGCAGAAATGCTGTCTTATTTGCTTTTGTGTTCTTTGCTTCCTGTCAGATTTGCTCTAGAGATACTCCATGTTTCTACATTTGGTGAATCTGTTAACAAGCAGCGCCCCTCGTGTGCTAGCACTTGAAATATTTTGCATATAGTACTGTCACAAAACTTTTAATATGAATATTAGTGTCCTTTTAAAGATTAAATAGAGACAGAGATTATGTGATGTGTCCAAAGTCAGGACTTCCTGTTGGAGCAGAATACAGAACTCCATCCTTGACGTTAAAATGCAAGACCACTTTTCTTATAAATGATGTGATACTTTTTTTGTGCTGGGCTTTTAACTACTAGCATGAAGATACACCACATAATCTAGGATAGTTGTTTAACACTGGCTTTATATCTGTGGCCTGTCGATTCAAGAATTTAAAGGTAAAGTCAATCTCATTAAAGAAATTCTGATTTCAGTTTTATAACTGAGGGAATCAGAAGAAGATGAGGTGAAACAACAACTAATTGTATGCGTATCAAACACCAGAATGTCTTTGAAAACTGTAGTGGCTTCTTTAGATAGTCTTGGAGGTACTTCATGATCATTATAATTGCGAAGTTTCTCTTAATATCCTCATAACTAACCTATATTTGTAGCAAAGACGGATGAGAGAAACTTTCCAACTATAAGGGTAGTGATACACTGAAATATGCTTCCCATGGGAGTTGTTAAATTTCCATTATAGAAGTTTTAAGAAGAGGTTTATGAAACATCTCATAGGGATGGACTATAGTATATTTCATATTGCCTGTGTGCAGAGATGGGCTTAGGTGATCTTTTGAAATCCCTTCCAGATCTACATTTCTCTGATTCTTTATCTAAGACACTTAGTATCCACTAAGAGCCCTTTTAGAATATTTAAGGACATCCATGATGTTTGATTTATCTTAGTGATGAGGACACAAAGTTATATTCTAAGCTTAACTATAAGAACAGATCCCAGAAGTATAAAATCTAAAAAAAAAAAAAAAAAAAAGAAAAATGGCTGTAATAAATATATTTGGTCTTGGATTTTGTTAATGATGTCTAGATTCATGATAGTCAGATTTGATTTATGCTGCTAAAGATTTACTCTTGTTCCTTGATTTTATTTTTATGAAGTTGCCACAGCAGGTAAGAGGACATTTTTTTATGTCAAGACAAAACCAAGAAAAGCAAGGAGCTAAGGAAACCAAGACTCATTTTACTGTTCTTCTGGGAGGCACTGCCTTTCTTTCTACACATTTTGATAGAAC